TGCTGCTGCTGCTGCTGCTGCTGCTGCTGCTGTCTCCCTTCGGTCGTGGCGTGCACCGCTATCGATCCTCCGTGAGCCGTCACCACCCGGGCATGGTGGTTCCCTCTTCCCCTTGTGTATGAGCCCTTCAGCATGTCAGCATGTCAGCATGTTCCGAGGCCATCCACCACCTTCCAAAGCGCACCTCTTCGGTAGTATGACCTTCTTCCACGAGGCACGCAGGTGACCGTTCAATGCAGCTCGGCTGAGCGGCGCTTACGCGTCCATTCTTCAGGGTCCAGCTTCGGCCAAATTTTCAGCGGCATTCCATGCGAGCGATCACTGTCCGCTCTTTGTCACTATGTTACGCCGACGCCTTTGTTCTTTTGCGAACAGGATATCGGGAGATGCTGGGCAAGATCAGAGAAAGCCTCCCGATGCCAGGGTTCGTCGCGGGCGCAGCAGTCAAATCACATTTTCTTCGCTGCCGAGCGTCGGAGGAGGTTTCGTGTTTGCCCCGCAGCGTGCGGAAGAGCCAAACTCGAACGACATCCAAGGCTTTGATCGTTGTCTGCCCACCATCACCATCCGCTCTCCAACGGTGATTTGACACCTACACTCTGGCGCTTCCAGCTCGCATTTTGAACCACTTGCAGCTTCGTCAACAACCAGGACCACCTGTCAACCTGGCTTCGACCTCTTGAATCGGCACCATGTCGTGGAGGAGCAACGCACAACGCACCGGCATGAATGCCCAGCCGCTGCAAGGCGCACGTAGATGGGGGGGCGGCGGTGGCGGCGGCGGCGATGGCCCCAACCCTGGACCTTCCGGCTCCGCATCTTCGCCATACAACAACGATCCGTCTCGCAACTACCCGCATTCGTATCAGCAGCAGCCGTACTCGCAACCTTACCACTCGTCTCCACCCAACCACTCCTCCTCTTCCAATCCGCGCGATGCTGCACTCGCAGCAGCAGCAGCCGTCGCAGCCAGCATCGGCATGAAGCGCGACCGCGATGGCGCGCCGCCACAATCTTATGCCTACCCACCTCCTTCCTCTGCATCCGGCCCCGACGCCGCCGACGGCGGCCCGCGCAAGCGCAAGTCGCGATGGGGCGATGCGGCAGACAAGGTGACCATCCCTACGGCGATTGGCGCCAACGTGTCGGCGCAGGACCTCGACAAGTACGCGGTGCAGGTGCGTCTAGACGAGATTGCGCGCAAGCTGCGTTCGGGCGACTTTATCCCGCCGGACCGCGAGCGCTCGCCCTCGCCGCCGCCCACGTACGACGCGCAGGGCCGCCGCACCAACACGCGCGAGGTGCGCTACCGCAAGAAGCTCGAGGACGAACGCATGGCGCTCGTCGACCGCCAGCTCAAGCTCGACCCCAACTACCGTGCGCCCTCGGACTACCATGCGATCAAGCGCAACCAGCGCCCCACCGAGAAGGTCTACCTGCCCGTGCGCGAGTTCCCCGAGATCAAGTTCTTCGGCCTGCTCGTCGGACCGCGCGGCAACACGCTCAAGACCATGGAGCGCGAGAGTGGCGCCAAGATCTCGATCCGCGGGCGCGGCTCCGTCAAGGACGGCAAGGGCAAGGGTGGTGACGAGGACGAGGAGGAGATGCACTGCGTCGTGACCGCCGACGACGAGGCGGCGGTGAAGAAGTGCATCAAGCTCATCAACCAGGTCATCGAGACCGCCGCCTCCACGCCGGAGGGCGAAAACGACCACAAGCGCAACCAGCTGCGCGAGCTCGCGGCGCTCAACGGTACGCTGCGCGACGACGAGAATCAGCTGTGCAAGAACTGCGGCAACAAGGGACACCGCGCGTTCGAGTGTCCCGAACAGCGCAACTGGACGGCGCACATCATCTGCCACCGCTGCGGTGGGCAAGGGCATCTTGCCAGGGACTGCACGCAAGGCCGCGCACCGGGCGGGTTTGGCGCACCCAATGCGGCACCGGCGCCCGGCACAACGGGCAACCGACAATTTGACTCGGAGTACGCCAACCTCATGGCAGAGTTGGGTGAGCCTGCTGCTGGTGCAGGTGCGGGTGCGGCGGTGGGCAGTGCGGCTCCGGGTCAGGCAGTGGGAGCGGACGGCAGGAAGATCCCGCCGTGGCGCAATCCGGACGTATGGCAGCAGCCTGGCTTTGGTATGCCGCGCGGCGATGGCGGTGGCCGCGGCGGTGGTGGTGGTGGATGGGGTCAGCGCGGTGGTTATGGCAATCGAGGCGACCGTGGTGGATACAATCAGTACGGCGCCCAGTCGCACCAGGCGTATGCACAGCAGCAGTATGCCGGTTACGACCAGGGTGGACAGCAGGCAGCTGCAGCTGCGGCTGTGGGGCAAGAGGGAGAGCAGAAGGACTACTCTGCCGAGTGGGCGGCGTACTATGCAGCCCAGGCGGCGTATGCGGATCCGAATGCTGTTCAGGCAGCAGCAGCGGGGGGAGATGCGGGAGGCGTCGACTATACCAAGGAGTGGGAGGAGTACTACCGAATGCAAGCGGCTGCTGCAGCTCAGGACGGAAGTGCCGCTGCAGCTTACACCCAACAACAGCAGTAGACCGTAGGTTGCTGGAAAATCACACACGATCAATCCATACGCTAATGACAGTGTGACCGATTGAGCTTCGGGCGCGGCGTGTGCTAGAAATACAAAAGGAAGGTGCGGGGGATGGAGGCCTTTTAGTCGTAGTCTTCGTCTTCGTCGAGGCTACGTTTTGTGCCTCTTGCATCGTCTGCTTGGCTGGGTGCGGTGAGTTGGGATGGTTGGGTCGCAGTCATGGAGACATCGCCATCATCGTGTGCAGTATTTGCATCGAAGAGCGATGAAGTCTGTGTGCTCTGTGGCTGCGTTTGTGTTTGTGGTTGCGACTGGTGCACGAGTGTTGTATCTTCAAACTCCTCCGCGTCCGCAGGCGGAGGGTTGGGGACCAAGCTAAAGTTGACATTCGTCAGACAATGAGCTGCCGGAGGCAACCTCACTCCATGTCGGTCCGAAATCGGCGGCAGTGGGATTGCGTTGACCGTGCTTGCAAGTGCCAGCAGCATCTGTTCATCCACCACCATCAGTATTCGATTCAGCTCTCGATAGGGTATAGGGAGGGGGCTTACGTCTTTTTCGGGGGGTTTGGTGAACGAGTAATTGACGCGCGATTGGATGGCGAGATTGACGTCGTCGAGGGAAAGGCTGCTGGAGGCTTGACGGGCGCTGGCATGGTCTGCGTAGACGAGCGCGTCGGATAGAACGTCGTACGTGTAGCGGTGAGCGAACTCGAGCAGCTGCAGTAGCACGGCCGGTTCGACGTCCGAGACGCCCATCGAGGCGAGGATGAGCGCGATCAGGCGTGCATCGCGCGGCACGGGTCCGCGCAGACCCGTGTCTTGCGCGTCGTCCTGGTACATCGCCATGGCGGGTGTTCTCAACCAAGAACCGCGGTGCGGCGAATAGTGTGGATGCGGATGGCAGAGGACAAGGTGTTGAGCAACGATGCCGCCGATGGTTGACAGAAGCGACGCATCCAACGCCGAATTCCGAGCGCGAGGAAAAATGCGAAATGCTGTTAGAGTTGAGACCACCCGTAGCAGCCTCACTTTGCTTCACTGTTCACGGAGACGAGATGCGATAGAATGGCCGTGAGCAAAGCGGTAGCATGGGCCGTATCAGGAAGGTAAGTGGAGCCTGAGTACCGTCGCTCATGAAAGGAGTGGTCTTGTAACCGTCGATGAGGTCGCATAAAGAAGATATCCAGCAAGACTCGAAGCTCATTCCTCACAAAACGAGTATGCCCTCAGCATTCGTAGTCCCCTCTCACGCTCAACGATTCAAGGCGAGCGTGAGTGGCACGAATCTGCCCTCGACAAGCAAGACGCGGCACGTAGCAAGGAAGCCAAGGAGAGCTGCCAAGGTTGGTGGCCAACCACCTGCGACTTGACTGATTTCCCATCGCGAGCTTCCTCCCCCTGCTTTGTTGACGTGCGCGATGCGTTTGCTATGACAGAACTATGTGCTCGTTTACACGACCACGGCGAGATCTTCTTGAGCGTTGAATGTGTTACGCCTTTTTCGCTAGTGTACAGAGTCGGAACGACGAACGGGTTTGATGCTTGGCTTCGAGGGCCACCCTACCACGAAGCCTTCTTGACGCCGGGCAGCTCGTTTGCTAGCGCCTTCATGCGGAACTGGTACTGTTTTTCCATCCGAGCCAAGAACCAAATCAGCAATCCCACCTAGCCAGTCAGACAGGTCGACGATGAAGCAAAAACTTACTCTGCACAGGCCGAATTCGGAGATGATGCCGCGACCTCGGCCAGTCTCTACGCAGCGATTGGAGACGCTGACGGGGCGGGTCTTGTTGGGGAACTGGTTGAGCTGAAGTTGGGCCTGGTGGCGCACCTTTTGCGGCAGGGTGGTGTTGCGTGCGATGTACTTGAACGCGCGACGCACGAGTTCGTTGGACTGCACGGCCTGGCGTGTGGCCATGTCGCGCAGCACGCGTGCGTTGGGTCGGACCGGCATGTCTGATATGTCCTTGTGTCTGCGAGACAGTCGAACAGCGATGATGATGACGAGAGTGACAAGTCGAAGTCGATCAGGAAGCACGGAGAGGGCTGGAGGATGGCGGCGAAATTGTCCACTTCTTCCCGAAAACGAGCCGCTTTCCTCGGATCCGTTGTTTCGATAAATGTACACTTCCTTGATCTCACACTTATGAAAAAATCGAGGCTGACGCCTCCACCTCCAAAGTTGCTGATGGACCCTTGAACGAGAAGAAAAGAAGGGCTCGCTGTTGGCGCAGCTCCTCCAACGAACAAGTCCGACTCGACCCGAATGCAACTCGCTCAACATGGCATCGACAGCCGGCGAACGAGCACACAAGAAGCCGAGGTCCAGCGAGCACGGCCAAAGCTCACACGCCAGACCAGACGAGTCGTTCGGCGTCCAATCGCTGCCCGTCGCCGATCTGCCGCACGACTTCTCGGGCGAGCCTGCCGACGGAGAAGAGTACCTGGCCATCGTGCGGCGAGAGGCAGCTGCTGCTCCCACCATCTCTTTCGCCGCACACAACCCGTACGCTCAAGCTCTATCCGCTGCCGAGGCATTACCGCTAGGCACCAGCTCTCAACTGGAAGGCAGCACTGACGAAGCGCTGCTCATGCCGTCGCACGAATGGAGGTCGGTGTTCGAGACGCACTTCCGCAACGCACGCGAGGCGCTCAGCAATCCTCCGACCGCGCCGGTCAAGCTGAGCAAGGACGACCTGCCCAAGATCGGCAACAGCAGTGCATGGTATGCATGGATCCACGGGCGGCCACCACCAGCGACGTCGGCGGAAGAGGCGGCCAAGCAGGCGAGCAAGGCGCACGAGTGGCGCATCCGCGAGCCCAGCGGTGCTCTTCTGCTGCGCCTCAGCACAGAACAGATCCTGGGCCTGCTAGAGGCTTTTCCGTACTGGCTGGCGCATCGCGTGCCCATACCCGACAGCCACGGCGGCAGAGCAGACGAGGTCGTACAGGCACTGCATGCAAGGTGGCTGTTTGCATTGCTGCTGCGTCTCGACTCGCAGCTGGTGAGCGAGGAGATCAGCACGCTGCGCACGCTCGCACGGGCCTGTGTGGCTGCCATCACACTCTCGAGGATCCGACGAAAGGCACTGCGATCGCGCACCAAGCCGGACGATTCCATCGCCGACGACGACGAGGCAAGCATGCGCCGCGACGAGGCGGGTGCCTGGATGGTGGTCACCATCGTAGCATCCATTTGGAGCCAGTCGGATCTGTGGCACGATGCCGCCGCCGACATGCGCCGTGTCAGTTGAGCTTTGCCAGTGGACGGCGAGTGGGATCTCCCGATCGAGGTGGCATCGGGGTGGATGCTGGCGAAGATGGGCAAAGCGGCATCTATTTTCGGCGAAGGGTCGAGGCGGCACTGCGAGCGGCACGAGATTGGCTTTGCCAAGCCTGGCGGAGCTGAAGCGGCAGCCGCAACGGCAACGCGCCTCGAAATGCGCATTACAATCTCACGGCTCCAAGGCCTAAATGCGCAAATACCAGCATTACACCGCCTGCCGAAGCCGCCCCTTGGACCCCGCAGACGCGCAGACGCAGCTCGTGCGAGCCTCAAACTTCGGCAGCCTTGGTTCGCACTCTCGGCATCCCACAAGGGTCCCCAACGGCATGCTTGGGTCATCATCATTGCGGTCTTGCACGAGTCTACTGGCAGCCACGAGGCTGAAGTCAGGACTTGGATTGCCAAAAGGCTTTTTGCAAGGCTAAGTGGTGGATAGCAGCGCGAGTGAGTGCGGGCCAAGGGAGGGAGCGCGGTGGGGTTATGAGGACCGAGCGGAGACAGCGGTGGGCTTTCGAACCGTCGGCTTCTTTTCAAGACGTGCATCATCTCGCCGTGCTGGGAGCCGGTGTCCGGCATGCGGTGCTCGCAAACCTTGTGCCGTCGCATTCTGTGGTTTCTCACGCTGGATACTTGCCTGCTGCCGCGCTCGCCCGCCCCCGGGGTGCGGCCTCGTTTTCATGCCCTTGCCGAACCCGCGCAGCGGCCGAACTGCTTCTGCCGTCAACGCTCGCCACCATGGATAGGCTCGCCGCATCCTTCACCCGCCCTAACCGCGACCTTGCCTCGTTCCTCTTCGTCTAGCTGGCACGCTTAGCTCGGTTCATTGCACGCTATCCTAGGGCGCGCAAGTGGGCTCGACCATCTTTGCGCCAATTCAGGCGTGCACAGCTAGCGGCGTCACGGCAATCCTGCAGCTACTCGCCGTTCACCGTTCACCAACCAGCAAATCCGGCCAGCCAGCTCCAGTACAGACGTCCGCTTCGAGCCGTAGTCCAAGCCTTGCCGGCACATAGTGCGGCTCTCCCACCTAGGCGTCCGGCACAGACCGCGTGGTCTCGACACTCGCTCCGCCTCGAGCGTTTTGCCGCCGGCTTGACGCTCACATTGCATGCAAAGTCCTCGATAGACGGCTGTACATCCGACTACCACTACGCTCGATCTGCGCGCTTTCCGATTCATATACACCACCTCGAGTGCAGGCCGCCATGTCGTCGTGACTCCTGCGGCCAACCCGGTCTACTGCGCACACCTCAATCGCGCTTCTCGACGCTAGTGCTATTCGAACAGGACGCTGTGCTTGGGCAGTTATCCTTCACCATGGCGACGTCAATACCCTCGCTGAAAACGATCGGCCATACACAGACGTATGCGAGCCAAGCGCCACCAGCACAGGATGCGCACAACTCGGCGGCGGTAGCTGCGACACCGATGCTGCCCTTGACACCCGCCGAGGTGGAGGCGATTGCACTCGAGGGCAGCGAGGACTCGCGCCACTGGTCGCACGCCAAAAAGTGGGGCACCACGCTCATCATCTCGCTCATGGGCTTCATCTCTCCGCTCGGCTCGTCGATCCTCGTGCCGGGCAACGGCTTCGTCGACCACAGCTTCAGCCTCGGATCGCGCACGCTCTCGGTGCTCCCCGTATCGCTCTTCGTCATGGGGCTGGGTGTGGGGCCGTTTATTCTTGCGCCGTGTTCCGAGACGGTGGGAAGGCAGCCGGTGTACGTGATGACGAGCGCGGTGTTCATCGCGTTCAACCTCGCGTCGGCGTTCAGTCCGAGCTTTGCGGCGCTCAACATCCTGCGCTTCTTTGCGGGTGCGGCGGGCAGTACCGGGCCGAGTCTGGGTGCTGGTAGCATCGGAGATATGTTTGCACCCAAGGAACGCGGTCGTGCGCAGTCGCTTTATGGTCTGGGGCCGTTGATGGGACCTGTGCTCGGGTCGATTTTGGGCTGCTTCATTGCCGCGGGGACGAGGGATTGGAGGTGGTTGCTGCATACGCTGACGATTCTGTCCGGCGTGGTGTTTGTGGTGATCGTGCTGTTCTTGGACGAGACGTATGCTCCCGTGCTGCTGCGCAAGAAGCGCGAACGTGCCATCGCCCAACGGCTCCAACAGATCCAAGACGCAACCCCCTCCTCGACGGTCGAGGCAGAGGTCAAGCAAAGCCGACTCGTCATGGCGGCGCAGAGATGGCTGCCGAGCAGGGCGATCATGCACAAACTCAAGCTGGCCCAATCGCGGCCTTTCAGGTTGCTGTTTACCAATCCTATCTGTGCGATCTTTTCGTACTACCTCGGCTTCTGCTATGGCATCATCTATCTCTTCATCACGCAGCATCCGTTGCTGTTCCAGACGCGCAAGGACGAGCCGGATGCGCCGTCGCCACAGAAGCTGCCGACGTACAATTGGACACTGGGCATCTCGGGGCTGTCGTACCTCGGTCTGGGGCTCGGCTTTCTCGTGGCGGCGTTTACGAATGCGCTGCTGCAGGACGAGATCTATGCGCGTCTGGTCGAAGCCGACGGCAGGGTTGGCTGGTTCATCTTTTACCGTCGCTGCGCATTCGAGCGAGCTTTGCGCGATCGGTCCGATCCAGCAGCGGATGATGTGGAACAGCCCAAGCGCCTCAGTGATGCTGCAGCCGAAGGAGCCAATTCCGCTTTTGGCAACGTCACACCCACCGTCAACCCGGACAAACTCCCACCCTCCATCCCCCCCGCAGAGGTGAAGAAAGGTCGACCCGAGTACAGGTTGCCACTCTGCCTTGTAGGGATGCTCATCCTCCCCGTGGGATTGACGACGTTCGGATGGAGTGCTGCCAACCAAACGCACTGGATCGTGCCGCTGGTGGGGTCGTTCCTCGTGGGGTGTGCGACGATCCTATGCTTCCAGACGATCCTCGTGTATCTCGTGGATGCATTCGTGCCGTATTCGGCCTCGGCCACGGCATGTGCGGTGCTGGTGCGCTCGGTGCTGGCGGCAGCATTCCCGCTGTGTGCAGAGTACATGTTCGAAGGCCTCGGATATGCGTGGTCGTGCACCCTCCTCGCCGGTATCGGCCTCCTCGGCCTTCCAGTCCCCATCATCCTGTACAGGTACGGAGAACATCTGCGTGCCAAGTACAAGTTCAAAGGCTAGCATCACACTCCTCATTGTATTTGTATCGACGTCATAAGTTAGCGGTTCAGAAGTGGTGGGATTGCAGATACAAGTACAGACGAATGAGAGGGTCTAAGGTTTGAGTGCGGGGGTGGGGTGGGCGACCTTGCGGAGGACGCGGGTGTTGCGCGTTGCGGCCGGGGCAAGGATGCGAGTAGGGATGGGACGCAGCGCCGAGATGAGGGCGACGAGGACCGAGAGGAGAGCGAGCGAGCCGGCCTGGTGCGCCGAGGCGAGTGGGATGGGCACCATGTAGATGAGCGTCGAAATGCCCAGCGTCACCTGGGCCGCCACGACTGCCACCGACGCATTGGCGAGCTGCACCACCCTTGGCGGCAACGCAGGCAGTACGGGGGTGGAAGCCACACGTGCAGCGGCAGTGTACGCCCGCGCAAGGCGATGCGTCTTCCATGCCAGCGCGAGCACGGTACACGCCGTGGTCACCGCCAGCGTACGGTGAATCAGCTGTACCGTGACCGGGTTCTGCGCGAGGTTTCTCCACACCTTATCGGAGCCATCGTCACGCTGGGCGTAGCGGTCGTCCATAAGCTCGTGCATGGGTGGTGCGATGCGACCCTCGCCCATGGTGGGGAACTCGTTATACACCAGCCCCGCGTCGAGACCTGCTACGAGCGCACCGGACATGGCGGTGGTAAACACGAGCGCAGCCACCGCCTTGGTGAGTCGAGAGTGGGTGCGCAGCAGTGGGTGGTTGAGCGTATTGGCCAACTGCGTCAGTGCGGCCTGTGTGCGAGCCCGCACGCCCGACACGGCGCCCGTAAGGTTAGCCGCATTGTAGTCGCGCTGCACCGCCAGACCGGTATGCAGCATTGCGAGGTACACCAGGAACGCTGTACCCATATGCATAGCCAGTCTAAAGTGCGACACGCGCGGTGTCCAGTCTGCCGCTGCCGTACTCGTCTGCGCGGCCGAAGTAGGCACCTCGCCTCCCTCGACGTGAACCGTCTTTGCCCTTCCACTCGGCTCGGGTGCCGTCAGACCCGACTTGACCATGAACCAACCCAAGAACCCCTGGAATCCAATGCCCGCCGCAATCGCAGCCAGCTTCCACCGCGTGCCTGGAGCAACCCATCGCCGCGTGACAAAGTACGCGGCGGGCAGCACGAATGCGACGCCGATCACGCGGCCCAGCACGCGGTGGCCCCACTCCCACATGTAGATCGCCTTGAAGTCGTCGAGCGACATCTTGGAGTTGAGCAGGTGGAATTCGGGCGTTTGCTTGTACTTGTCCCACTCGGCCTCCCATTCGGGCGTGGTGATGGGCAGACGCATCCCTTTGAACCCGGGGTTCCACTCGGTGATCGACAGGCCCGACTCGGTCAACCGCGTCAGACCGCCCACGACCACGATGGCGTACACGAGGAATGCAAGAGCGTACAGATGCAGTGCGACGACGGGTTTCGATACCGCGGGGGCTGCCGACGCGGTGTGTGTCGAGCTGGACGTCGAGTCGGCGGACGAGGTTGAGGCGTAGTCGGCCGGTGTCGCCGCAGCAGTCGATTGGTGGCGAGCAAGAGCGGTGAGGATGACGGAGCGGGACAGTGGCGCGGCATGTAGCGACCCAGGCCTTGGCGTTGATAGCAGTGTCGGTGTGGTGGTCGATGCGGAGCAAAGTGGCGAAGCGTTGGCGAGCGATGGTACGGAGGAGCGTTGAGCGAGCGCGACGAACGAGCGCTGGAAGACGGCGGCCAACGGTCTTGATGTGTGCGACACCAGGGCAGGCGATGCCAGCCTGATGCCGAGCCTGGGCACCATGTGAGCAGCCATCGTGAGCCTCCAATGGTGGATGTGGTTGCTGGTTGTCAAGCAAGAAGGAAGGGTTGAACGAGGTGTTGGTAAGGCGCTATTCGACGAGCTTTATTTAATTTTGGCGGCGCTTTTTTGGGCTGGATTTGATAATCCGAAGCCGCCCCGGCAGCGCGTTCTTGGCCGAATCTCACTCTCAGCCCTCACCGCCTCTCCCGATTTGCACCGATGCAAGATTGCACACCGCATCGCAGCATGCCGCTTTTGCACGGGCATTGTAACAATGAAAACGCACTTGCCATTCGACGAAGAAAGACAGTCTATACGTGAGCTTACTCTCACCTGCGTCCGCCGCGACGCTTTGCCATCTCCTGTGCGCGCTTCTCCTCGAGGAGGCGCTGCTGCTTGATGACGTTGCCGATACCAGCGAGGCGCCTGTCGTCGTTGCGGAGGTAGTAGAGCTTGGCGCGCCTCGTCCTGCGCAGCTTGCCGGACTTGTCGTTCTTGCCCGCCTCTGCCTTCTGGATGACACGCACGTCCTTGAGCAGCGGCGAGTAGAGGTTGAAGCGCATTTCGACACCCAGCTTCTGCACGAGGTTACGCAGCACGAACGACGTCGATACGCCGCGCCGGCGCACGGCGATGAGCACGCCCGAGAACGACGAAAAGTTGGTCTTGAGCGGGGACGTCCACGACTCGACGATGAGCACCGAGCCCGGCGGGATGCGCTCGCGCGACTGGCGGTCGAAGAGCTTGGTCAGACGGTTGCCCGGGTCGTAGCGCGCACGCAGCTCCGAGTGCACGCGCGGCATCACACCCGACAGAACGCTCTTGGGCTGCGGAGGCGGCGTGACGCCCTGCTTCGTCGAGATGAACTCGGGTACTTCCGGGATCAGGGCCGCCGACGAGAACGGATACGTTGCGGCTGTAGGTGCAGAGCGTATGGAGGATCGGGTCAGCTGGAGTGTGGTCGAGCATGTCTCTGCAGTGGAGCGTGGACTTACATCGCTGCGGTGTCTTGGCAGCCGCCGCTGCTTTGGAGGCGGCACGAGGAGTGTGTGAGGAGGAGAAGCATCGACTGCTGGACGCGATGGGCGATGCTGATGTTGTGGAAGGGTTGGCGCCGAGCCTGAGCGACTTGAAGAGCGCCGTCAGCGGCTTGGAGCTTCGTTGAACGGACATTGTCGATGTTCTGTATGCCTCCCGCTGTGGTGTCTGTGGTGTAGATACGAAGCGAAAGGAGGTTGGTGCAGAGGCAACAACGACGATGGAGCTGTCCAATGCCAACCAGCTGGCCTGCTTGCAGCCCAAATCCACTTTTCTCGCCCTCGCCCTCGCAATTCTTCGCGCCTTCGATCCGAGTTTGTCTCGCGCGAGAAATTCAGCGCCGCGCCCAGGCTGTGATTGGATCTCTCGAGCTGGGTCCGCATCCGTTTGGCAAGGCGACCAGAGCCCAGAGCCAAGTGAGGCAGAGCCAGGGTGGGGATCGGGCGCGCGTTGGCCACCCAGCCCAAGCCGGCCCCCAACGCCTGAGCCAGCATTGAGCGCAGCTGCAAAAGTCCACTTTCCAAATCCACTCATCCAAACCGCAGAGTAGTGTCGAGCATCACACCTTCCTCCACGCCACGACCCCACTTCACCCCTCCATCCACCACCTCGACGCATCGACACCAGCAGCAGTCACACCACCACCACCACCGTTGCCACCACACTGCGCTCCGCATTGGCGCCTATCCGTACTTCAAGCTCGCGCTCCGCTAGAGCCGAGCCACACATTCGTCCAGCATGGCGGCGAGAAAGTTGCAAACAGAGATCGACAAGACCTTGAAAAAGGTGGGCGAGGGTGTCGAGATCTTTGAAGACATGTACGAGCTGCTGCAGCGCTCCACCAACTCGACACAAAAGGAAAAGATGGAGTCGGATCTCAAGACGCAGATCAAGAAGCTGCAGCGTCTACGCGACCAGATCAAGACGTGGCTGCAGAGCAACGACATCAAGGACAAGAAGCCGCTGCTCGACAACCGCAAGCTCATCGAGACCCAGATGGAAAAGTTCAAGGCCATCGAAAAGGAGATGAAGACCAAGGCCTTCTCCAAAGAGGGCCTCATAGCCGCCGCCAAGATGAATCCGCGCGACCGCGAAAAGGCAGAGATCTCCGACTGGCTCTCCACGCAGGTCGACGAGCTGGCGCGCCAGACCGAGGCGGCCGAGGCCGAGATCGAGACCATCTCGGGCTCGGGCAAGAAGAAGAAGGGCTCCGCCAAGGACGAGCGCGCCTCGCAGCTCGAAAACGCCAACGACCGGCGCAACTGGCACATGTCGCGCCTCGAGATCCTGCTGCGCATGCTCGAAAACGGCAACCTCGACACCGAGCGCGTGCAGGACATCAAGGAGGACATTGCCTACTTTGTCGAGTCGAACATGGAGGAGGACTTTGAGGAGGACGAGGGCATCTACGACGACCTCAACCTCGACGACGGCGAAGAGGCGTTCGGCCTCAAGGAGAACGACGACCTGCACAGCAACCACGACTCGACCGCCGGCATGGACGACCTCAGCTTCCGCGACCTCAAGGACACGCCCACCAAGCAGCGACGCGACAGCCTTGCAGACACGCACACCTCCACCACAACCAGCATCAACAACAAGGATACCACCATCCTCACCAGCAGTGGCAGTACATCCAACAACACCAAGGACAAGGACAGCGGCAGCGGCAGCGGTCATGCCAAGAAGGAGGATGCGGCGGCGGCAGCAGCAGCTGCAGCGGCGGCCTCGTCGGCAGCCTCGCAGCCCGCAGCGTCACCTGCGCCACCAGCGGCCAAGAAGACGACGAAGAAGGCGTCGCAGGAGGCGGTGGCGGTGCCCAAGGAGAAGGCGGTGCCTACGGCCAACTTTGCGCAGGCCAAGGCGCCGGCAGCGTCGCAGTCTGCCGTGCTTTCGCCACCCAAGGCACCGAGCGCCGCGCCGCTTCCACCCATCCGATATGCGGCGGCGGCAGCCGCAGCCGTGGCAAGCAGTGCCACGGCGAGCACCAACGACAATGCGGTTTCTTCGCCATCCGCCGCCACCGCGCCGATGGCCAACGACTCGACGGATGCGAATGGTGCGGCGTCTGCAAATGGAGCTGCGTCGGCGTTGTCGGCAGCGGTAGGTGCGCCATCGACGCCAATCAAGTCTGGGGTGGATGCGGCGCGTGCGAGCGATGCGGCGGACAAGGCTCGGTCTGCGTCGCCAGCGCCGCCTGGGCTGAGCAAGGTGGATGCGAGCAGCAACAGCAACAGCAACAGCAGCAGCAGCAGCAGCAGCAACAACAACAACAACAACGGCAACGGCGAGGGAGCGAGCACTGGCATGTCCGGATTCGAGCCTGCGCAGCTTGCGGCGAGTTCTGCGGCGGCGAGCGTGGTGCAGCCTGCGGGCGGGGGAGCGGGTACGGCGGCGCAGCAGGCGGCAGCGCAGAAGGAGGCGGGCACGGAGGCGCGATTGCCAACGTCGCTGACGGATCTGGTGTCGTCGTTCGAGTCGGCCAAGCAAAAGTCGCTGCAGCGCGAGGCGAATTCGGGGCTGGTGCACAAGTCGCTCGAGTCGTCGTTTATGAATGTGCCCGAGGCGGTGGATTCGGATCGACCGCGCTACTATGTGCCACGCAATCCGTTCCCCACGCCGAGCTACTATCCGCAGACGCCCGCGGGGGTGTTTGACAATCCGGCGCTGTACGCCAAGTTTGATGTGGACACGCTGTTTTACATCTTCTACTACCAGCAGGGGACGTACCACCAGTACTTGGCGGCCAAGGAGCTCAAGAAGCAGAGCTGGCGATTCCACAAGCAGTATCTCACGTGGTTCCAGCGCCATTCGGAACCGCAGGCGATCACCGACGAGTACGAGCAGGGCGTCTACGTCTACTTTGACTGGGAGGGCAGCTGGTGCCAGCGCAAAAAGAGCGACTTCCGGTAAGTTTATTCAGCAGCAGTGAGAGAGTGGGAGAGTAAGAGTGCGGTTACTGATGTCTTCTTGTTTGGTTTTTGCGGGGATAGATTCGAGTATCGATGGTTGGAAGACAACTAAGCCGTCTCTCTCACATGGGCAGATTGTTAGTTGCGAAGAAGAAAAAGCAAAGTGATTGGTACATTGCCTGGTGGTGCCGAGGCGTGGTGAGGTGGGCAAGGGTGAGCGGGATGATCGGAAGAGTGTATGCCGTAGGATGATGTTTTGCCGATGTCCTGCTGGGAAGCGAGGGCGTTCGAGGCGGCGGTAGGGATGGCATCCTGTGCATAAGATTGCGAAGCGAAGACAACCGTCGAGTCGAGCGGTGCATTGCAGCTCAATGCGCATCCAAAGCGAGCCGAGAGCAGGGACCTGCCAGTCACACTCACGCAGGCTGGGACGATGCGCTCGGGTGCTTCTTTTTGTATTCAGAGCGCGTTTTTTTTTCTCCGGAGAGGAGTCGTGAGCGCGGGGAGGTCTTGGAGCCGAGATGCACCAACCGCCAGGCTGGCGAGCTTAGCTGTGACTCTCCGTCGGAATCCACCGAGGCTTCGGATGTCGAGCGATCACACTGCCGCGGGTGTGAACCGATCATCGGATGCTCCGTCCCCGCCATGTTTTTTGGCTTTGATCCCGCTGTTGGAGACGGCAAGGCAAAAATGTGATAGGCAGCGAGACGCACACGCGCGCGGGATAAGAACAAAGTTTACCGCGGAGGAGCCGCCTTTCAACTCAAAAATGTCCAGTCTCAGAGCAGTCGAAGGAATTCACAGTCCGCCCGTAGAAGCCGCGCTTCGCATTGTGCCGAAAAGCACAAAAGAGGACCCTTGCGTCGAAAAAGATAGGGCTGGAATCTCGCAGAGGATGCCAAGCATGCTCGTGGTGGGGCCCAGCCAAAGGCACAGTTCGCAGCAGGTCCGAGGGCAGAAGAAGAGAGTCAAAGAAGGAGGAGCGTGCGGCTGAGCGTCGGATGAAATCACACAATCACTCTCGACAGCATGCAAAGAGTACAGTCACGCATGCTGGCTGGCTGAGCCTGGCAGCCTCAAGGCAGGCAGAGAGAGATGCAGGGTTGCATGCGATCTGCGCACTCCACCTGCCTCCCCGCCTCGCCATTTGCTGCCACCGCACCGCTTCTCCACCGCTTCTCCACCGCTCTCCACCGCACTTCACCGCAAACTGCAACTCCAATTCGCCCAGCCCAGCCCAGCCCCCGCCAGCCTCTCCACGCCCCTGCCCTTTGTCTCGTCACCACCGCCATCCTCTCCTCGCTGCCTTCGTCGTCGCTGTTCGCTCTCTACATCCGTTTCGAATCGTTAATCAATGTCCCACTAATCTTTGCTTCCGTCGCATCCAATGCCGCTCCACCGTCACAATGTCGCTACGCTTCCTCACAAGACGTCGTGATCGCGACCGATCCAACTCCATCCTCAACTCGCAGCCCTCGCCTTCGCGTGCGTGCATCGCTCTCCCCGACGAACCAGTGCGCTCGGGCAACGCGGGCAATGCTGCCATACCCGCAGACGTCCACGTCATCAGCTGGGATCCACGCGACCTCGAAGCTGCTGGCCGCGACGTCCACATCCGCTCCAGAGATCCACTCCCATCTCCGGGCCTAGGCCCCATCGATACCCCTGTTTACCGTGCTTTCACCGCAAGCCAGCACCTCAACCACCCACCACCCGTGCCCGCAAAGTCAACCCCCATCAGACCCCAGAATGCAAAGTCGCGCGCAAGACCAAAGACCGCATCGAGCGCACAGGATCGACAGCGTATCGACTTTCTAGAATCAAGACCATCCCTATCGGCAGCAGATAATATCCGCACAGACTACCTCGAGGTGCTTCACGCCTCCACAACCACCCAACACGACCATGCCCACACCTCAAAGCACAGCTTCTCGCGCCGCTTCGCCTCCAAGATTCGACGCGCCAAATCACGCTCCCAACAGTCCGGCTTGGCATATGACTCGGGCGCCGAGACCGACGCCGACATCAGCCATGCCACCCTGCCCGCCTCCTTTGCATCAGGCTCTCGTCTTCCCTATTCGCACGCCCAAGACAACGCTTCCGTCCAGTCATTCGCCAGCCAGGCTTCGGCACACACTCGAGACTTTTGCCTCCTCTCCGCTTCCGACGCAACCTCGAGCTTGCTCTCCCGTCTACCCAACACTCGTAAGCTGCGCAGGCGTCAAAATGCCTCGACCGCCGACATCCAGCTCTTGGCTTCCTCCTCGGCTCGTTCCCAATCCGACAACGCTGCCTCCGCCGCCACTTCGCGTTCGCGCAGCGCTTCGCTCAGCACCATGGCGCCCAAGTTTCTGCGTCCCAAGGACAGCCGCGCCGACATGGGCCCCAACGCTCCCCCCTCGCCCGCAAAGAACAGACTGAACAGAGGCGCTCCTCCCTCGGCGTGGAGGCCCGACGCCGCCTCGATCGAAGCAGCAGCCGGCGCATCGTCCAGCTACAGCTCCGACAACGACGCCAGTGCAGCCTCCTCCACGGGCCATGCACACGGCCTCGCTGCCAACAGTAGCGTCGGCGCCGCATCGCCCGGTCCATACCACGCCCAGCTCGTCGGTCATACAGACGCTCAGCATGCCCACGGGCACCGCCCGCGCACGCCCGTCAATCGTCTTTCGGCCATCACGTCTGCCCTGCTTCCGCGCACTCCGGATCCCGAGTCGTCGCCACGCCCGCCCTCCCGCCACAACGCACCGTCATCGCCCATCGTCGCTGGCCTGCCCCTCCCCGCCAAGCCCACCCGCACCGCCTCACCAGCCGTGACCACCTCGCTCCTCGCCTCGCAACTCTTCAAGCGCCTCGGTCCGCCCCCCGTCGGTCTCGAGCCGCACCGCTTCGACGAGCGTGTACTCATGATCCAGCACTACATCCAAAACCAGGTGCCGCTCGTCCCCCTCGCCAAGCCGCACGATCCCGTCACCTTCGCGCCGGCCAGCAACCGCTCCAGCTTGCCGCCGCCCGCGCGCCGCTCCTCCGCCGACCCACGCCTCGCCGCGCTCGCAGACGAGTTCGACAAGCTCGAGTGCCAGACAGAGCACGCCATGCTCGAGCTCGCCGCGCACAAGGGCGACGTCGTGCGTTTCGAGATCGCCGAGCTCCGGCTCGCCGATGCTTTCCTCGCCGCTAGGAGGCGCTGCGGCGTCGATAGCAGCCGCAGCCACTTTGAGCTCGAGGCGCTCCCTCCTGCGGCGAACTCGGACAGCCCCGACCTGGTCTCGGACTCGCGATTCCACGCAGACGCCACGCCGCTGAGAGGTACGCTCGGAGGCATGCATCCCGCGCCCGCTGTGCGTCCGCCCAGCGCACGCGAGGCCACAGACGGCCTCGGCGGGCTCGGCGTTTCGCTGCGCCCAGCACCCAGACGCAGGCGCAGGCCCATCACTGCACCCGAGACGCAGAACAAGGGCATCGCCAGCATGCCGTTGAGCAGCAGCGGCAATCGCGAAATGCTGCGCAGGGACGGCGAGGCTGCTGACACGCGGCCGTCGACCGCACGCTCGTCGCGCTCGCCCGCGCCTGCCTCGGACACGGCGGGCGGCGCGCTCGAGGGCGAGCTGTTTACGCCGGCGAGCTTCAGTGCGCGTGCGGGTTCGGGTGCGGGTGCGGCGGTGGTGGATGCGGACGAGCTGCGGCTGCGCCAAATGCACACGCATGCGCAAGCGCGCCTGGTGGCGAGCAGGACCGTGTTCGCTGCGCCCGCACATGCCTACCGGCGCGGCTCGAGCGACAGGGACAGCTCGAGCAGCCACAACACCGCCACTACGCATGGCTCGGTGCGCTCGCCGCTGTTTGGCGCGCCCGCGTTCCAGGTGGTCGGATGGGCGGGTGTGGGCGAGAGGCAGAGGACGCATTCGCAGGATACGGCCGATACCGAGCATACCGATGCGTCCGAGATGCATGCCGCCATCAAGGCGGCCGTCGCGAGAGAGGGCGCACTGCCCCCGGTCTCGTAGCAGTTCCAGCACGGCGAGGATCAACACCAGGCGCACAGTCGCCGTCGCCAGCTGTCATGGTCAAGTACGGTGACAATCACGATCAGGCAGTGTCAACCAAGGCATTGCTGAGCGAAGCACAGTCAAGCAAGACGCTCCCAACACAGGTACAGTCGCGCCGAGTCGCCTTGGGGCACAGCTATCGTCAAAAGATGCACTATCAATCGAGGCAACCGCCGTGTCGAAGCTCGGTCGTGACAAGGCACAGACAGGCAAGGCGCAACCATGATCGCAAAGCATTGCCACGCAAGGCACAGGCTCGGGCGGGCACAGTCGCCGCCGGACCCGACCGCATTCGGACAAGGCGCGGCATCGCAAGGCATTGTCACGCAAGGCACCAGTCGTATTGGACCTCGGTCGTCATGACATGGCACAGTTGCGCCATGTCGCAAGTGAGCACCGTCGCAATGTCAAGCAAAGCAAGATAGACTCGAGCACAGTCTCAGTCGAGCTCAGCCGCAGCCGGCTCAAAGCACGGTCAAGCGAGGCGCTGTCAAGCGAAGGATTGTCACGCCGAGCGACCGTCGTATCGAATTACGGTCATGGCGAGGCTCAGGCGGGCCCAGCTGCAGCCACTGCGGTCATGACAAGGCGCAGCCGCCAGCTGTCGCGATTCAGCACGGCCATAGTCACGATCAGGAACAGTCGGGCACAGCCACGTCGAGCACAGACTCAATCTGGCACAGCCGCAGTCGGAGAAAGCGCAGCCTCCGCAAAGCGCCGTCTCGCAAGTGGTGTCCAATGCGATCATGACAAGGCAACAATCTTAGGGACCAGCCGCGCGAAATTGCCGCCAAGCACACTCGCAACTACGCGCGACACTGGCAAGCAAGGCGACAGGCGGACAGTTCGCAGTCAAGCAAGACGCAGAAAGACCGGACGCAGCCATGACACGGCACGTTCGGGCAAGGCATTTTCAAGCACGGCCCTGGGGAAAGGCCGCAGTTGCGCCCGAGTTGCAGCCATGCACAGCCGCGGTCGGACCAGGCGCAGCCCCCGCAAAGCACACTATAGCAGGGCAACAGGCGGACCACTCGAATACGGACAGGGCGCAGTCGAGCAAGGCACAGTCGAGCCAGGCAACAGGCGTCCAACTCGCCGACAACTCCCGGTGGAGCAAGATCGTACTGCAGCACCTCGCAGTCGGACCGTCCGCCTGCACGACAATGCACAGTCCGCCACAGCTCCGTCAGCAACGTGGCCGGCACGACCATCTCGGCCATTGAAGTCGCACGAATAGGCACGGTCAGCACAATGCACAGCCGCCGCAGTCCCCGTCGGACAGTGTCGCCCTCGAACGCGTTGTAGCCCAAAGCCGGCTTCAGAACACTCACAGTCGCACGTTGCACCGATCATTCGCAACACAGCAATTTCTTTACACGTTTGGCTTGTGCGAATGGCAGTGTGCGAGTGTGAGTGCGTGAGGGTGCGGCGTCTGTGGCGCGTTTCGGATGGCGATGTCTTACTTTACACTGTGTCGTGGGGAGGAGTGGGGAGGGGTTTAGGCTGTGCAATCGCAATCCTTTGTGAGGCTGAGCAGCTGGGCCAGTGTAGGTTGGTTGTGGTCTGCGGGGGGTTGGAAGGGGTTCTTCCACGCGAGCGTCCTTGCGAGTTGGGCGAGCAAGAACCGCTGTTCGTCCTTGCCTTTTGCGTTGATACCGGCCATTATGGCTTTGGCTTTGGCGAGGTGGTTGATCGACGTTGGGACGGTTTTGAGCTGGGCGATGGTGGAAGCGTGGATTGCAATCGATACTGTCAGCTCGTCCAGAAGCGCATCCACATCCACGTCCATCTCGTCGCCGTCGAGGGAGGAAGAGATGGTGAGGGTGCAAGACGTGCTGAGTAGGAGCCGTTTGATATCCGTAAGGGGGATCGAATCCCAGGGGCAAAACTTGGCGTAAAAGGGGACAAAGATGCGGTCGAATACGCTCTGTGCGGTCGAAGGGTCGAAGGAGGAATCCACCACGATGCTGGCAAAGCTCGCTTCGACCACATCCGCCAGTGCCTTTGGAGTTGCAACCCCACAGTCCTGCCAATATGCCGTACCCTCCCCCGCGCCCTCCATCGCACGAGAATATGCGCCGAGCGTGGATGCAAGAACCTCGCTATTCGACGCGACGTATTTGTGCAATCCCAGTCGATGCCCCAGCGCGGCTAAGGTGGAGTTGGATGCCAACATCCCCTTCAACGCCGTCAATTCGCCCGGAGACAAATCCGGATGGGCGAAAAAGGAGTACCGCACAATGTTCAGATCCAACCACGCATCGCCGAGAAACTCCAACCGCTGGTAGGACGGCAGCACCGATGCGAGCAGCGACGGATGCGTAAAGGCCTCCAGCCCCAGATGGGGGTTAGCGATACACGTGGCCGAACAGCCCCTGCAAATGGTCCAACCCCGACCGATCCACCCTCCGCTCCCAACCTTGCGTCACCGATGTGAGCTTAAGCTCTTCCAGCAGCGTGTTGAAGTCGTCCAGCCTTTGAATGGACTCGGGGATCAGTGTGAGGACTCGACACACGTGCAGTGCCGCATCCGTGCCACCGCCCACCAGCGCCGCACCGATCAGCGCCTCAACGACGTCGGGGAGTGTCTTTTCGCGAATCACATCCGTCTCCCCCGCCCCCACCTCCACCTTAACGCGCCCGGGTTGGAGCAGTGCCCCACCGATCCACCCCGACATCGGCGCGGTATATCGCTTGGCTGCAAAGTCCGCACTGCCGAATAAAGCCCACCGCCCAAGTTGGAGCCGGCGAGCCTCGCGCAGAAGCCGCACGTTGGTCAGGATCGCCTTGTTCGCCAGATGCAGCTCCGCCTCCGTCCGCCCGAGCTGCGTTGTGAATGTGTGGCAGGTGGCAACGAGCTTGAGGAACGTGTCCCCGAGAAACTCGAGCCGTTCGTAGTCGAGCCCGCACCGAGCAGCTGGACTCGCCAACGCCTCGAGCACCAAGTCCACCTCCAGCAGCCCGCTGAATAAAGCGGTGTTGCACTGAGAGGCGAGCAGGAGATGGTCGTACCGCGTGAGGATCGTCGGCAGCACGAGCACGCTCGAAAGCGTGTCGGAGCGCAGAGGGAAGATGCGGTAGAAGCGCGGGATGACGAATCGCACCGGTGTGGCGGTGCGATGGCTGCCCCGGCTCGGGGGTGTCAGCAGGTTGGTGACTTTGCCGAGCTTTGTGACGGCGACGAGCGGCGTCGAGGCGAGCTGGGTGGCCAGGGAGGCGGCTTCGTCGGCGCTGACGCGGCGCGCGTACTTGGTCAGGTGCTGCGAGAGGTACGTTTGCGTCTCGTCCACCGTCTCCGTCCCGGCCTTGGATGGGAGCGGTGAGAGAGCCGTGAGGTCGTGTCTGACGTCTTGGAAGATGTACAGCGCGTTCGACGCATAGCCGTGCTGCCGCGTAAGCACCGTGTTGTGCAGCGACTCGAGCCCTGACGGGTCGATGCGCGATGGCTGCAGCGTGGCTGGCCAGTCGAACGCGAGCTGCGACCAGGTCGTCACGTCGCTTACGCCATCGGCGACGCGGACAGGTGCAACCAGCACGGCTGGCTCGCCGTCATCAGGCCCGGATTCGCGGCGGCTCAACAGCGCGAATACGAACCGCGTGAACCGCGTCGCGGCCTCGAGGTCTGTGCTTTCCAGCGGAACGGCGCCGAGCGATGCAGCGCGGATCGGCTTCATCTTGCCCGAAGCTGCATGGTATAGTGTCAACCGTTCTGTAGCCGGCAGCGCACCGCGCGTGAGCAGCAGCAGCGGCTGGCATCCCGCATCAAAGCTAGCCATCGGGAGGAACGTCGCATGCCACTGCACTTGCTCATTCGCACCTTGCGCGTGAAACCGCGCCCATCCATCCATCTTCTTGACGGGCACGTGGATGGGCTGTCCCGTCCCGCGCCACGCCTTATGGTGCGGGTTCATCATCGCAGGCGCAGCGTCGCGATCGGCCACTTTGGCACCGATGAGCTTGGGCATGAGCCACTCGTCGAGCTCTCCGAGCTTCCGCAGCTGCTGGCATGCGCGTAAAGCCGCCATGCGCTTAGCGCGCTTCTTGGAGCTGCACGGCCCGGATTCGACACTGCGCACCGCCGCAGTACTAGGCAGTTCGAGCGTGCAGCTGAACGCGGGCGTGCCGCCGAGCACCTCGGTGCTCTGCATGCGGTACGCCAGCACGGCGTCCTTGAGATACTCGCTGTGCAGCGTCGCCGCATAGTGCGCCACGAGGCTCGGGGCGTCTTCGGCATACAGCCGTGCGCCTGTGGTCGGCTCGTGGATCGCCGGTTCGGCATCGGGATCTTCGGGCTCGATGCGCAGTCGTTGCTGCCACTCGTCGCACAGCATCGCATCGGCATCGGCATCGTCGCCGCCGGACTCGGTGATGGCATCGAGCCACTTGCTGCGTCGCGCCTCGGTGTCGAAGGCGTTGTGGATGACTTGGGCATGGTCGGCGTTGCCGCTCTCGGCCATGAGGATGAACCGGCTCCCGCGCGCGCGTGCGCGGCCGCGCGACTGGAGGAACGAAATGCGCCGGTTGAACAGGTCGAACCGGATCACCAGGTTGGCGGCTTGGATGTCGAGGCCTTCTTCGGCGATCGAGGTGGCGACGAGAAGGTTGGTGGGCGCGCGGCGGCGGAAGCGGTTGAGCACCTGCACCTGGTCGTGCCAGTCCATGGCAGGCGCCCCGCCAGCGGCCGATCCGTTATCGTGGCCGAGCAGGAACTCGGGATGGATAAAGCCGAGCCCAGGCATGCGCTTGATGAGCTCGACGAGCAGCGTCGCCGTCTGTCGACGCTCGACAAACACGATCGCGCAAAAGTTGGCCGCGTCCGGCTCGAAGCACTGCAGCAGCTCGACAAGGCGCAGCAGCTTTGGCGATGCATTGGAAGCATCGATGCGCAGCTCGTCGGGTAACGCGGGCTGGGCGCGCATGTGCAGCAGGATGCGTCGGTTCAGCTCGCTGTTGGTGGACAGGTGAGCGGCGCCGAGCGGTAGAGGCGCTTTCTGCGGCTCTTCTGCGCCATCATCACCGTTTTCGGGCGGATTGCGCATGCTGGCATCGACGATCCACGCATCGCTGACGAGCGTGCGCTTATCCCTGCCGATAGCCGCCCACTTGCGCGCGCGCGAGCGCAGCTCGAGCAGCGTACTATGCCAAAACACATCGCAGCCGACGGCGCCCAGATGGCGCATGGTGTATTCGAGCTTGGGCTGCACCTCGTCGCGAAAGTGCCTCTCGACGCTATCAAGCTGGTCATCGTCCAGCGCCACATCCACCGCAAACATGCCGAGCATCTCGCGGCTGAGCTCCGACAGCGGCACGCCGTCCAGCTCGTCGTCGAGCACGGTGACAAAGGGCGCGAACTCGACGACGAGCTCGTCGGGCTTCTGCTTGACCTTGTCGAGGTCGTCGAGTGCTGCCTTGGACACGGTGTGGATCCTGGCGTCCATGGTGCTCTGCAGATAGTGCGCGGCCTCGTGGAACATGCCGCTCCTCGTAAAGATGGGGCTGGCAGTCATGCCAAAGATCTTGGGCCGCTGATCGGCGGGTGCGAGCCGGTAGTACTTCATGATCCTAAAGAAGGGATGATTCTTGAGCGTGTGGTGCGTTTCGTCGAACACGATGAGGTTGAGATCGTCCATCTTGATGAATTCGTGGATGAGCGCGTCGAGGAAGCACTGCGCGGTGGCCACGATGACCTGGTGCGACTGGAGCAGTGCGGCCCACTGGGGGGCGTGCCAGTGGTCGACGGTGAGCTTGTTGCGGCCACGCGTGGCCTCCTTGAGCTCGCCATAGAGCTTGCCGACGGCGAGGTCGGAGTTGCCGGCGATGACGGACGATTGCTGGTGGACGAGCGGGACGAGGTTGACGAGGAAGAACGACACCTTGCGCTTGGCGGTCGGGTTGGTGGGAGGGAGGGGTTGCTGGTGGATATGCTGGAGGAGGAGCACCGAGATGAGCGTCTTGCCGCTGCCCGTGTCGAGGCAGACGAGCACGTTTCCAGACTTGGCGATCTGGGCGAGCTCGAGCTGGTAGGAGCGCGGTACGAAGGTGAGCTGGTCGGTGCGAAGCTGGTTGGAGGGATCGACGGCGGTCTGGGCAGCGATGTGCTCGAGGATCCTGCGCTTCTTGCGCGCGCCATCGTCCTCGACGGTAGCGTGTGGGGGCGGTGAGGGTGCTATACCTGGATCGGCTGGTTCCAGCGCTGGACTGGCCGAGAGCTGACGAGAACGCTTTGCCATTGTATCCAGACTTTGATGAGACAGAGGAGTGGCAGCGACGGACGAGAGGTGGTCGATATCGATATGGTCGATGGGTGTTGGAGACGAGGTGGGCGGAGACAGATGGACGTCGGCAAGCCAGTTGGACACACGAGCCTGTGCGGACAATATATCCATGTCTCCGATGCTGTTCCGTGCGGGCTCTTCAAGGTTCAGCTGCGGAAGAGGGAGTGCGGGAAGGGGTGCGGATGCGGCTGAGGAGGAGGACGAAGCCGCATCCTGTTCGAAGACGTAGTTAAGGCTTCCAGGGCATTCCACCCTCTAAGCAGCCGAAGCTTGCCGACAGGTTGGTGGGTTCATATGATTCGCGCACGGCTGGTGCAGGCTGGCGTGGGATGCCGCTGCTCATGTGTGCAGATGAAGCTGAGGTCGGATAGCGGCAGTTGCGCCGCGAGCTTGTCTGGCAAGTGAGATAATATCCAGTCGATGTCCCTTTGTTGGAGCCGGTCCGCTGTGCGATGGAAGTTGCGGCAGGAACAATGAGCGAGGAGGTGGGTGCGCACCAAGTCGGTGAGTGGAGCTTTGACAGGTGGAACCGATTCAGGGTCCAACCTTCTGGCCTTTTTTGGCGCCGCGCAGCAGAGCCGGCCGAAATCGATTCGCAGTTCCGACATCCGAATCTGAGCCATCTAAATTTGGCGTCCACATCCACCCTTTCTCTTCACCACCACCACCATCCATCTCTTCCATCTTTGGCCTCGGCGCCTTTATTATCGCCATGTACAACGGTATTGGCCTCAAGACGGCGCGTGGCACAGGCACGAATGGCTACATCCAACGCAACCTATCCAACGTCCGACCGCGCGACAATCCCTTCACCAAACCTGCCGCTTCCTCGTCCGCCCCTGATGTGCGACACACGCAGCCGGATGCAGCGATTCTGGAGCACGAACGCAAGCGCCGCGTCGAAGTGCGCTGTATGGAACTACGCGTGCAGCTCGAAGACGACGATGTCCACGACGACGAGATTGAGCTCCAGGTGCAGGCGTTGCGCGAGAAGCTGACCGCGCAGATGGAGCAGCAACGCGAGCAGGAGGCGGTATCGAAAATCGATGCGGCCAAGTTGAGGGCGGGGGATACGCATAGGCTGGCAGAAGCTAAGCAGCATGATGAACGACGATTCGCAAGGGCAGTGGGGGTGGAGAGCGGGTATAGGGAGGGCGATGCGTTTGACCGCGAGCTGCAGGAACGCAAGAAGCAGGAGCGCATCGAAGAGCGAAGGAGGAGGGATGAGGAGAGGAGGAAGGAGTGGGAGAGGAGGAAGGAACAACAGGCCGATGCGAGGAGAGAGCGCGAAAGGGCGGGCGAGGAGAGGGATGCTGGATGGAGTAGGCGTAGGGAGAGGGAGGAAAAGGTGCGTTCGCCATCGCCTCGTGCAAGGAAGCGCGGCAAGTACAGCGAAAGCTCGGGATCCGATTCGGGCTCGAGCGAGCGATCCCCCCGACGCAGAGATGAGGGCAGGTCAACGAGGCGAGAGGTGGGACGGGGACGTGCGAGAAGTCGATCGCCTTCCAGATCGAGCTTCACCTCCAGCTCCAGGTCCAGGTCGAGGTCCACGACGAGGTCGAGGTATGATTCTCGTTCGCGCTCGCGATCCAAGTCGAGGTCGAGATCACGCTCTGTATCGCACTCGCGTTCGCGCTCAGTCTCGTCTCGATCGCACAGCGGTGGTCGTCGTCGCTCGTACTCGCGCTCTCCCTCTCGCTCAGCTTCCTCCCGCAGCCTCAGTCGCAGTGTCAGTCGCAGTCGCAGTGCTAGTCCCGCACGCGCGCTTCCACCCGGCCCCCCACCCACACGTCCCCCCGGCCTTTAACCCCCGCAATTCCCTCGGATAACATGCAATTACCTGTGATTCTAATGGTGGTACTGATGAGGCTGATACACTGACGACGCCGAAGCGGGCACGCCGTACTGCTGCTGTTGCTGTGGATACTGCGGTGGATACTGGGCGTACTGTGGCTGATTTGCATACGCATACCCCGCCGCTGCCGCCGCTGCGGGAGGGTAAGGTGCAGCCGAATAATTCTGTGGCTGTGGAATGGGCGGTAGAGGCGATGGCGAACGCTGCGGTGCCCATCCCTCGCCACCTTGGGTGTAGAGATACCCACTCGTCGATGCTGCAATCCCACCCCCGTTCGGTGGTGCAGAATACGCAGGCTGCTGTGAGGGGGGAGGACCAGTCCAGCTCGATTGCGAGTAGGAGTGCGTGTGCGCGTGCGCGGGCGGAGGCGAAGGCTGTTGCACCGCCTGGTACAGATGCGAATACGCATGCGGCGGCGGAACAGCCTGCGACGCCAACGATGTCGAACTCTGCGTCGACGGCAAAGGTCGCGAAACGTGCCCCGACGCTGCCACCTGTTGAGGTGGTGGTGCAGGCTGCGGCGGAGGAGGCGGTTGCTGATGATGCTGCGGCGCAGGCGGCTGACTATAGGGCGAAGGAATAGGCGTGTATCCCTGCGGAATGCCCGGCGAGGCGGCACGAGGCGGCACCGACTGCGGCTGCGACAAGTACGCGCCCACCTGCGGCTGTTGCTGCTGCTGCTGCTGCTGCGGCGGCGGCGGCGGCGGTGGCTGCGACGCCTGCTGCTGATAGTACGCCTGCGCATTCACGACCGACTGTGCATGTGGCGCTGCGGGGCTGGTGCTGTACTGCGAAAGCGCCGATGCCGGCCTCGCCGCGGGCGACACTGGCCTCTGCAAGCCCTGATGCACCTCGTGCTGCGCTGCATAACCTACCGTCGAGGGCGGCGTGTAGAGCGAGGCGAGGTGCGCGGGTGTCTGGTAAATGTGCGACTGCGGCGGCCTTTCTTCTTGCTGCACGGGCGTTGGCGGTGGCAGCGGCTTGTCGGTGCCCGAGGACGCGGGCGGCGCATGGAAGCTCATCTGGCCCATGGAGTGCGCGAGCTGATCGGCGCCGTAGTCCGGCTGGGGCATCTGAGCGTACGCGGGCACGTGGGATATGGAGTGCGAGCGCGGCATGCCATACTGCGCATGGTGGTGCTGCTGCACCTGATGCTGCTGCACCACTGCGCCGGGCCGAATGGTGGCGTAGCGATCGTCGCTGGCCTCGGACGGCTGCTGGGCGGCAGCAAGATGGTGGTGGCTCTGCGAGGGAGTCATGGAGTGCTGTGCGTAGTACGATGCGGACGGCGTGACGCTATGGCCAAACTCGGAGGGATGGGGAGCGGCGAAGCTGTTGCGGCGCGAAGACCCAGCGGCGGGACCGATGGAGGAGGCGTGCGAGGCGTGCGAGGCGTGCGAGGGCGCAGCCGAGTGGTAGGCGGACGAGGGCGGGACGGGGCTGGTGGAGCGCGAGATGCTGGCGGGGGCGTAGGCTGGGGTGTAGGCGTCGAGGTTGGCGAGCGACGAGCTGGGGCGGATGGTGCCAGCGCCAAGGTCGTGCATGGTCTGGGAGTGCGACAAGGAGCCGGCGGGTCTGTGGAGGGAGGAAGCGAGGCTGGAGGTAGACATGCTGCTGGACATGCGACCGTGCGAGTTGGCAGCGGATGCAGCGGCAGCGCCGCCACCGGGCCGCATGGAGGCAGGGATGGGAGGATGGTCGGTCTTGCCCTTGGGTGGCTTTGGTGGGGCAGCTGAATCGGCGAGGTCGTCGATGCGCTGGAAGGTGCCTGCGCCGCCGTAGGTGTCTGTGCCGGAGAGTTGAGGCTTGGTGTGGGGCTTGCGCTTCTTGGGGGGCGCAGCGGACGAGTAAAAGGTGAGCTCGAGGTAGACTTCGCCTGCATAGCGATCCTTTGCCTTGATGGTGACCCACTCGTCGAACTCGCCGGTCTTGAGCGTGTCTGTGAGGTCGACAATGCCGTCGCCGATGAACTCGGGCTCCTTGCTGTCGTCGGCGTAGCACGCCACCTTGAGCACCTTTTTGCCGCCCTTGAGTTTGTCTGTAGCGGAGGAGGAGGCGGACTTGGCAGCGGAGCCGGAGCCAGTGTTGGAGGCCTTTGCGAGGGCGTCTTCCATGTCTTCGTAGATCTCAAAGTGGAGCTGCTCGTCCCAGGTGGGATGTTGACCGCCGCGCTTGTCGGGCTTGGTCTTTTGCTGTTCGGTGCCCATGGTGAGGACGGTGTAGGGATCCTGCTTGCCGATGGATTTCTTGTTGGGCAGGTTGCGCGCCTTGAGGACGACGCAGACGAGCGTGCCCTTGTGCACGGGCTCGGATGATGGCGGCGGCATGGTGGGCGACCGGATCCAGCGACGGTGATGGTGGAAGATGGTGGTGTTGAAGCGGCAGCGGACGGGAAGGCGGCCCAGGTGTTGGTCGAGTAGTGGTACGCACAGGCGCGTTTGGGCGTCTCCTTACACTCTCCTAGCGGCGCTCTCCCTCTCTCTCTCTTTGCCTCCCTCCCCCACTCGGGCACGTTTTGATCTTCAAACTCAATTCACCGACCACACTCTTTTCTGTCTTGACTCCACTCGACCGGCGCTGAAGGCGGAGTTGGACCGATCGACCAAAGCTGTGCTGGGCCCAAGCCGTGAAATTGGCGCTGCGCCTTTGTCGCACTGCACCGCTTTGGTTGGGCACACCCACCTCTCGGCAAGTCCGACGCCCGTGCAGGAGCAGCTGCGTGTTGTTGTTGGACCCAATTCGACGCGCGCCCGGCACAGCATCGCAGCCCCAGCACAGCCCAAAAAAGGCGGGAAAAAAGCGGCGAAAAGGCGAGAGTGGTGTTGGTCTTTCGAAATGCAGTTCCAAAAAAACTCCCGGCTTGGGGTTTCTCCCGATCCCAAGCATCCGCTGCCGATCCAGATCAGTCTCGGCTTCTGATGAATAGCATCTACACCTTGATTAGCACGGTCTTTCTCTAGTATACAAACAAGTCATCGTCTTGTCGCTCGCTCACGAAGGATGGCTCGGCTTGGTGGTAGCGCTGCCACAGCTCTGTTCGATCTCGTGCTCTTCGCGCTCGAGTCGGCGCATGGTAGCCATCAACACGCGTTGGCGCCGCTCCTCTGCGCTCTCGCTCTCCGCCCCCGGACCTCCTCCCAGCCTCTGCCCTCCACCCGATATTGTCGGTGGCAAAGGTTCGTAAACGTCGCCCTCGACGAGTCTGTGCGTTCCATCCCGCTGCGCGCGTTCGAACTCGTCGATCTGGGCGTTGAGCTTGCTGTTCAGGATCTTGAACTCGGGCGGGTGGTCGGCGACCTTGTTGTGCGCCAGCTCGTGCACCAGCACACGCCGTGTCGTCTTGTAGTCCCGGAACCCCTCGGCATCATCCGTGCGGATGCGCAGCAAAATTCGCTGCCCCGCATTCTCGTTAAGCCCAAGCAGGCCGGGATGTTCCCATGGCAGCAGTTCGGTAAGCGCACCCACTCGAAAGTGGTTGAGCGCACAAATGTGCAGGATACCCGGATCGCGACTCAGCCGCGTGAGGTAGTCGACCACCTTGCTGTGCAGAGGCGATGATTCGGGCGTCGTTGCATGTGCGTAGATCTTGTCAAATGGCGAATGGCTCGAACCCGCCTGGGTTGTGTTGCGAAGCTTGGCGCCACGAAGCACGCTCGGATGGTATTTCCGTGGTGCGTTGCGTTTCTGCATCTCCGCCTCGGCAGAGTACAGCGCCTCTAGCTCCGAAGACGATGGTCCCAGCACCGTCACCTTGGTCTCGGGTCGGCTCGCCAGGCCTACATCGCCCAGCGTGCGCTCGTCCGCGCCATGATTGAGGTCGGCCACACCAGCCGTTCGCGGCACGAGCAGCTTCTGCTTATCCGCAGCAACGTACGTCAGCTCCTCGATCGCCTGCCGCAACTGCGCCACGGTGGTGTCCGACCTCAGTCCCTGCACAGTGTACGACTGCTTGCGGTACACTACTTCGAGGCTGAAGCTGTTCATGATGAGCGTTCGGTTCTTCCACCTCCGCCGTGCGTCGACGCCTAGCGCTGTATGTCAGTGTCGCATGAACAGCCTGCGAATGGTCGTTGTTGGTGGGAAAGACATCCTCAACGGTGGCAAGCCGAACTGAGCCCAAGGTTGAGCCCAGAATTTTAGGCGCGAGGTGGAGGTTCAGCCGGGCTTAAAGCGCAGTCGTAAGCGCCGACGCGTGGCTTTGGCCGGCAATCCACTTGAGAAGCGCCAGCACCAACCCGGCCGAATGGACGTCCGCCCAAGGGTCCGCCAGCTTGTTCCTGACCCCAAATTGGCCCTTCTAGGTTGCCGCTGCTTGGCTTTGAGTCTACACAGGGCGGGGCAAACCCTTTCGGTCCTGAGCTTCCGAACCTCAGCCTCGACAAGCTACCACGCCGAAGGAATGCAGAGTGCACATGCGCATCTCGAGTTTTTCCGCTACATGCAGCTTCGCGCTCCAGTAACTTACACCACTTGGTGCCCGCTTTCGGCTGTCTACGCCTTTCTCTTTCGTTCGTTCGAGCTTGTTCTTGATCAGAAGTTTGAGCCCGAGCGTAGTCAAACCTGCAAGTTGTTTGATGTCTGTGTTGAAATCAGTGTGGGCTGCTCGTATGCGGATCCCGTGGCAGCACTTGTGACTTGGCTGAGGTGAGCAGCACGAGTAGAGGCATGCAGTGGGCACAGAGGCGTGGCCGGGCTGACCGGCTACTCGAAGCGCCGCGCGTCTAGCCGGTCCAAAGCCGAACGAAGCCACACGAAGCTCTCTTTTTTTTCTCTTTTCTGACCAATTTTGCGAAGCCGCGTGTTTGTGCCGCGCGCTCACTCACCGCCAACGAGCGCTTCGGCGCGCGGGGGAAGAGAAATCCCCACAAAATTCATCCGCTTGGCTTCTGCTACTTTGGGGCATCCCAGCAGCGGCAGCTGGAGGAAATGCGCGCACGGCCTCTCTCTCTCTCTCGCGCCCCGCCACGCCAACCCAACGACGGCTGCTTTCCGGTCCATCCCCGGACAACCTCTTCCCGGACCCTTTGGCCCCCCAAAGCCGGCCAGCAACATTGATTCGCTACAAGTACCCAAGCCGGTCCCTTTACCTTGCGCCTCCTCCATCACCCCCGCCTTGTGACATCCGCTCGCGATACTTTCTTCCCCTCCCTCCTTTCGATAACCGAACCCCGCACACACACTACACACCACCATGTCGACCGTGCTTCCTGCCAGCCTGGGTGGCGACGCGCTCATCAAGAACTACGTCGGCGCCGGCACGTGGGCATTCATCGAGGACAAGTTCACGCCGTTCGGCAAGGAGACGCTCGCCAAGGTGATCCGCTTTATGATTGACGAGTGCATCCCCGCAGAGAGGCTCTACCACGCCCAGGTGTCCACCGACCCGGCCAAGCGCTGGAAGGTGGTGCCCGAGGTGGTGGAGCAGCTCAAGAAGAAGGCCAAGGCACAGGGACTCTGGAACCTCTTCCTCTCCGCCAAGCACTACCCGGACGTCGGATCGCCGCTCACCAACCTCGAGTACGCCGTGATCGCCGAGATGACCGGTCGATGCTCGCACTTTGCCTCCGAGTCGCTCAACTGCGCCGCACCCGACACGGGCAACATGGAGGTGTTTGCAAAGTACGGCAATGCGCAGCAGAAGCAGACGTGGCTCACGCCGCTGCTCAACGGCGAGATCCGTTCGGCTTTTGCCATGACGGAGCGCTTCATCGCCTCGTCGGACGCTACCAACATCCGCACCTCGATTCGTCAGGAGGGCAACGAGATTGTCATCAATGGCCACAAGTGGTGGATCTCGGGTGCGGGTGATCCGCGCTGCGCCGTTCATCTGGTCATGGGCAAGTCGGACCCCGAAAACTCCAACACGCACGCCCAGCAGAGCATCGTCATTGTGCCCGCCAACGCGCCCGGCGTCAAGGTCATCCGTCCGATGACCGTGTTTGGCTACGACGACGCACCCGAGGGCCACTGCGAGGTGATCTATGAGAATGTGCGCGTGCCGCTCAGCAACCTCGTGCTCGGCTGGGGTCGTGGGTTTGAGATCATCCAGGGTCGTCTGGGACCTGGACGCATCCACCACTGCATGCGCACCATCGGCACGGCGGAGCGCGCGCTCGATCTCATGCTGGCACGCGCCACCGACCAGCGCAAGCGTGCATTCGGCAAGATGCTCTCGGAGCACGGCACGATCGTCCAGAACATTGCGTGGGCGCGCATCAAGATCGAGCAGTCGCGTCTGCTCGTCCTGTCCGCCGCCAACATGATCGACAAGACCAACGCCAAGGGCGCACTGCGCGAGATCGCCATGTCCAAGGTCGCGGTGGTCAATGCAGCGCTCGAGGTGCTCGACATGTCCATGCAGGCCCACGGCGCCGAGGGCGTTTCGCAAGATACCATCCTGGCGTATGCCTATGCCCAGCTGCGTACGCTCCGTTACGCCGATGGCCCCGACGAGGTGCACCTGCAGCAGCTCGGTAAGCTCGAACTGCGCAGGGCACCCGAGGTGTGGGAGAGGCTCAACAAGACCAACGCCATCTCGGAAGGCTTGCTCGCCAAGAATGGCCTCAAGTCGCACCTCTGAAGCGCTCCATGTCGCAAGTAGTGTTGGAAATCAAACGACGTTTCGTAGCATTGAGTAGCGGCAGTGAGGTGGCGATACCCTTTTGGTGAGCGATGTAACAGCTTGATGTTTTTTTTGGCGCGCGCGGGGAGATGCAGGTGGAGGCAGATGCGGGATTAAGCGCGCCACCCGCTGCAAGTTTGGCCGCTGCCTCCGAAGCGCCCCACTTTTGTGCGCCATGCTTGCATCTGCACGTCCACCATCCTTTGCGTCCCAACACCCCGGCCGAGGTTCCGAGCTCCGTCGATTCGAGTCAGCCCTGTTCATTCCCCCCACGCCTCGAAGAATCAATACAAGATGCGCGCATCCCCAAAGCTAGACCCTTAGCTTGACTACAGGCTGCACATTCGGGGATGACTTCGAACCAGGTATACCAGGACGCGCCGGGTCTGGAGGCGCAACGAGACGTGATGGCCGCAGCGCACGAGCATGGCCATGCGGATCAGGACGATGTGGCGCCCACCCAGCTCGAGGCAGGCCGTGTCGAAGCAGCAGCGGACGACGAGTTTGGCATGGAGGATGCCGAGACGTATGGAGAGCGTCTAACGCGTGTGCTCACGGGTGAAGCCGAAGCAACACAGCCCTCTTCAGCGCAGAAAGACGGTGGATCGAATCGCGCTCGAGCAAAGCCCACGCTGATGCGGCGTAGGAAGGTCGACACGAAGCGCAAGGCGAGCAAGGCAGCCTGGAGGACGGGTGTTCGCCAGCGGGCCGAAGAGCTGGCACGCACCGCCGACTCGGAAAAAGCCACTACCGCTCGAACGCAGAGTGGGGAGAGTGGCACATCGAGTACGCAGGCGAGCGATGTGCCGATGCGCATCAAGATGGTGGGTGAGGATGGCAAGCCCATGCGTCGACACGGCATCCGCGAGCGCGTGCTCCACTTCACCCCCTCGTGGTTCAGCGTAACCATGGGCACGGGCGTCATCGCCACACTGCTCAACCTCCTACCCTGGCCATCGATCCACGCGGGACTGCGATACCCGGCAGCGGTGTTTCTGCTGGCGGATATTGTGATCTTCATCGTCTTTCTGTGCGCGTTCCTGGCGCGGTACGTCATGTACCCCGAGGTGCTGCCGCTGACGATCAAGCATCCGCAAAAGTCGATGTTCCTAGGCACCCTACCCATGGGCCTCATCACCATCGTCAGTGGGATCGCCCAGCTGGGCACGGTCGAGTTCGGTTTGGGGATGGGCTTTGCACTGGCCGCGAGTGGGATGTGGTGGGCGTGTGTGGTGCTGAGTCTGCTAACGAGCGTCGGGGTGCCGTTTAGCATGATGACGTACCAGAAGCACTACTTCGAAGGCATCACCGCCGCACTGTTGCTGCCCATTGTCCCGCCCATCACCGCCGCTGCAACGGGCAGCGTGCTCGCCGAGATCTTTATCGAGCGCTACCCGACCTATGCCTTCACCATCATGGTGGTGAGCTACCTGGTGCTCGGGATCGGGTTGCCGCTGGCGCTGTTGATCCAGGTGCTGTACTTTCAGCGTCTGCTGCTGTTCAACAGTCCACCGCGGGACGTGATCATCTCGGTATTCCTTCCGCTCGGACCGTGCGGTCAGGGCGGCTACGCCTGTCTGCACCTCGGCCGTGTGGCGCTGCAACTTTTTCCCGTCATCTCTGTGCCGGCATCGTCCTCCGGGGTGCCGCAGCTCTTCTCGGTAGGTCAGGCTCTGTACGGCGCTGGGCTCATTTCGGCCATGATGCTCTTTGGCCTGGGCATGTGGTGGCTCGTGATCGGCGTGTGCACGATCGTACGCGAGCTGAGCCACGGCAAGCTCGGATTCAACATGGGCTGGTGGGGTCTCACCTTCCCCTCGGCCAGTCTCGCCATCTGCACCGCGAGCCTGGCGGTGGAGCTCGACAGTCTGGCGCTCAAGATCACCTATACCGCGCTGGTGGTCGCCAACATCGCGCTGTGGACGTACGTGGCGATCCCGACGGTGCGGGGGGCGTGGACGGGAAGGCTGTTCAGCGCGCCGTGCCTGGCGGATCTGCCGCTCAAGCCGTAGTGTAAGCGACGAGGTGCTACGTTTTGTATGTTACCGTCTTTGCAATCAGTGTCGTCGTCTGGCAGTGGAGCATGGTGTCGTCGTCCGAGACGCGCTGGCGTAACAGTGGAAGAAAAACGCGTGCGGAGAGCCAGACGCGTGTGGGGGCGTGTTGTGAGACGCGCCGAGACAGCACGAGCGCGCGCGTCGCACGTCGTGTAAATTGCACGGCCACGCGCGCTGAAGCGCAGCAGCCAAGGCGAAGGCGAAGTCGCAATCGAGGCAGAGATGGGCAGAAATTCCACAGCGCCCATTCCCTCCTCGCGCCAGTCCGCAACACTTGCTTTCCTTCTCGACATCCAGCGCACCCCTCCTCATCCTCGTCACACTCCCATCCCTCCATACACGACGCCGCATACATCCTTAGCGCTAGACACTCACCAAGGCCGCGCAGCACCGCAGCAAAGTCGCTTCAGATACCTCCGCCGCTGCCGAAAAAAAAGAGTCTCGTCGCCATGGCTGCATCCGCTCCCATCCTGCCGACGATCTCGATCAACGTCGACTACGACGAGGAGCGTCAGAAGATCACCGACTTCCTGTGCTTCTTCAAGGCGCCCGCGTCACGGCTCACCACGCTGGTCTCGCAGGGGGCCGGTGCGCCCATCAGCCTCGAGGATGCCGACGACGACGAAGACGAGCTGGAGCGCGAGCTGAGCGGTGCCATCGACCGCATGAATGTGGACCGTTCGGCGGCACAGCGTCGTAGTCGCGCTCGCGCCGAGGCCGAGGCGTCCAGTTCGCGCCAGGTGCCGTTTTACATGCACCAGCTGCAGAACATTGCGAACCGCGAGCAGGACTCGCTCGTCGTCGAGCTCGACGATGTGGCGGCGCACGTCAACACAGCAACGGGCGAGTCGGGCGCACAGCTCGTCGGAGCGATTCGGGGCAATGCCAAGCGGTATGCGGATCTGTTTGCCGAGTGCGTCGACCGCCTGGTGCCCGAGCCGAGCAAGGACATCTCGCACAAGGACGACGTGCTCGACGTCATCCGCCACCAGCGCATGGAGCGCAACGCCCGCACCGTCGAGAGCGCCCAAGACCCCAACGACACCGGCGTCGCACCCGAAGATGCCAGCGATAACGTCTTCCCGCCCGTGCTGCTGCGCAGGTACACGCTCTACCTCAAGCCGTCCACGCGCCGGGTGGCGGGAGAGCAGCCCGAGGAGCCGCTGGCGGTGCGTGCGGTGCGTGGCTCGCATCTGGGCAAGCTGATTACGGTGCGTGGTATCGTGACGCGCGTGTCGGAGGTGAAGCCGTTCTTGCTGGTGGATGCGTATGCGTGCGACGTGTGCGGCGCCGAGGTGTTCCAGGAGGTCACGTCGCGCCAGTACATGCCGCTGACGCAGTGCAACTCGCGCCGGTGCCTCACCAACAACACGCGCGGCCCGCTGTACCCGCAGGTGCGCGCGAGCAAGTTTGTGCCGTTCCAGGAAGTCAAGATCCAAGAAATGGCCGATCAGGTTCCCGTCGGCCACATCCCGCGCACCATGACCATCCACGTCTACGGCCCACTTACACGCGCCATGAATCCGGGAGACGTCGTCCACGTCGGCGGCATCTTTCTGCCCATGCCCTACTCGGGCTTCAAGGCGATCCGTGCCGGTCTGCTTACGGATACGTATCTGGATGCACAGAGCATCCATCAGCTCAAGAAACAGTATACCGCCATGCAGCGCACGCCCGAAATCGCCGCACAGATCGCCGAACTCAAGGACGACCCGGCGCTGTACCAGAAGCTGGCATCGAGCATTGCGCCCGAGATCTACGGCCACGACGACGTGAAAAAGTGTCTGCTCCTCCTGCTCGTGGGTGGAGTCAGCAAGACCGTTGGCGACGGCATGAAGATCCGCGGCGACATCAACGTGTGTCTGATGGGCGATCCAGGTGTGGCCAAATCGCAGCTGCTCAAGTACATCTCCAAAGTCGCTCCGCGCGGCGTCTACACGACGGGACGCGGTAGTTCCGGTGTGGGCTTGACCGCGGCGGTGATGCGCGATCCCGTGACGGACGAGATGGTGCTCGAGGGTGGAGCGTTGGTGTTGGCGGACAACGGTATTGCGTGCATCGACGAATTCGACAAGATGGAAGAAAGCGACCGCACGGCGATTCACGAGGTGATGGAGCAACAGACGATTTCCATCTCCAAGGCGGGCATCACCACCACGCTCAACGCGCGCACCTCGATCCTGGCCGCGGCGAATCCGCTGTACGGACGGTACAATCCGCGCGTGAGTCCGGTGGATAACATCAATCTTCCGGCTGCGTTGCTGTCGCGATTCGACATCCTGTATCTGATTCTGGATACGCCTTCGAGGGATGATGATGAGCGGCTTGCGCAGCATGTGACGTATGTGCATATGCACAGTGCGCATCCGGAGCTCGAGTACGATGTGATCAGCCCCACACTCATGCGCCACTACATTGCGCTTGCGCGTCAGAAGCGTCCCGTCCTCAGCAAGGCGGTATCGGACTACGTGGTAGGCGCCTACGTCCAGATGCGCAACCAGTACAAGGAAGACGAACTCTCCACCGACTCCACTGGCCCTTCATCGAGCGGTACCGGCTACGTCAGTGCACGAACGCTGCTGGGTATCATCCGTCTGTCTCAGGCTTTGGCGCGTCTGCGATTCGACGATCAAGTCTCCCTCCCCGATGTAGACGAGGCGCTGCGTCTGCTCGAAGTCTCCAAGAGCTCCGTACTCAACCACCCCTCGCTGGCGACTAGAGACACTGCACAGGACCATACCTACATCTCCAAGATCTACCGCATCATCCGCGAGTTCTACAATACCCACACAGCCGCCCTCGCCGACGACGACGCCATGGACATCGACCACGCCATCCCCATCCCCCAGCTCCGGGCACGCATCCTTGCTTCCGGCTTCGTCGAGGACCAGTTCCAAGAGTGCCTCCAAGAGTACCAGGACTTGGGCGTTTTGCAGGTCTCGGCGAACCGGCTCCTCTTCCTCTAGTCTCTCGACCTTGTCATTGTCGTTCCGCGTCTCGTATTCAATGTTTCAGTCTTGTTTTGTTTTTGGGGCAGCCACAGCAGAGCGTGTGCAAGGAGAGATCCATTGTGACATGGTCAAGAGGGAGGGTCAAAGGTTTTGGGTCGGCTTTGTTTGCTATTTGGATTTCAGTGTTGGTCGATTGGAGCAGCGTGACGTAGAACGGACATGGAGAGCCAAGGTGCTGGCGATGGTGCAGGTGCAAATGACGTGCCGACTAGGCAAGAGTCACCCGTGGCGATGGGGGGCAAGCAGACGGATGATGATGCTTATCGTTGCGGCTCGCATGGTTCCAGTTGTTGCTTGGCCAAGGTCGTGGCGACGCACGTTCTCAAAGTCGTATCCTACCGACACGGTTGCGACGACGATCAGCTTGGTAGCAGCCACGTACGCGCGATTGAGCGGGCGCATGGCTGGTTCTTCCACTTCGCGTTCCGATTGGGTCTGACTCGCTCTCAACGCGGAGCAAGACAAAGAATCCAAGTGCGACGCTACACTCGCTCGAGTCCATGCATCGCTTCAAGCCCCACAGCGCCCGTGGTGCAAGTTCCATGCGATGCAAACACCGTCATGACGATGCAAATGCTATCGACCGCGCTCGCTCCAGCCTTCTCTCAAGAATCCTCTGACCAACTCAACGCCACAGCCAACCTCACGCAACCACACTCATTCCCACCTCATGACAAAGTCCCTCCCGCCTCCAGCATCACCAAACCCACATTCGTGATCTTCAGACATTTCACTCGAGCTTGTAGGTGGGCAACTTGCTGACGATTCAGAGGTATAAGCAGTGCGAGGGATGAGGCCGGGACAGAGAAACGCAGCGATGTCGACGGCGGTACGAGACAGGATGAGCAGAGCATGCGATGCGGAAGCTGGAGCGGATGTGAGTTGGGTAGTGATGATGTAGACGGAACGGAAAGTGCGATGCAAGAAAGAGAAAGAGAAAAGGAAGTTCAGCCACAACAGGTCCAGCTGTTGGGCGTGATAGCTGGCTGGTCGCTGCCGGCGAGGAGCTGATCAGCGTCGTGCGACGAGAGAAAGATGCTGTTGCGTTCGCGCTCGGCGCGGTCGTGCTCAATCTGGCTGCGACGCTCGACGAGCTTCTTGGTAACGGCGAGAAAGACCTCTTCGATGCCGCGGTCATCCTTGGCCGACACCTCGGATACTTCGACCACATCCCACGAGAGGCTGAAGCCAAACGCGTCCAGGTCGGCGGCGACGTCGCGGCCGGTGTCGCTGCCTGCGGACCCACTGGAAGCACCGCTGCTGCCAAAGCTGCTGGGCTTGAGTCCACCCGCCGCGGCTGACGACGGAGTTGCAGCCTGGCTGGATGTTCGTTGGAAGGCGGCGAGGCGGGAGGCGGATCCAATCGCCAGGGAACCCAGGCCGCTCAGCCGTGACGGAGGCCGTGTAGGCGAGCCGGGACTGCCGTCCGAGTCGTTGGCGAAGCCGGGCGTGGGGAAGGTGATCGCCTGGGTCTGGTAGGGCTGTAGCCAGCTCTTGACGGTGGCGCGTGCGTAGTCGAGCTCGACCTGTCGCTGGGACCAAGCGAGATCGAGTTTGGCGCCGACGACGTGGATGACGAGGTCGGTGGTCATGTTCTTCTTGAGCTCTTCGATCCAAGCACGCACGTCGAGGAAGCTCGACATGGAGGTGATGTCGTACACGATCACGGCAGCGTGACTGCCGCGGTAGTACATGGGCGCCATGCTGCGGAAGCGCTCCTGTCCTGCGGTGTCCCAAAGCTGCAGGCGCACCTTTACGGCATCGACGATGAGCTTTTTGGTCAAGAAGCTGGCGCCGATGGTGGAAGGTGTTGAGGCGACGCTGAACTGGCCCGAAGTGTAGCGATGCACGAGCGAGGTCTTGCCGACGCCCTGCGAGCCGAGGATGACGACCTTGGCTTCGAGTTGGTTGTTGGGCAAGGTGCCACGTTCGCGGATGCGGCTCGGGGGCGAAGAAACCGAGATGGCGCTGCCGCCGTTAGCATGGGGCGTGTGCTGCTGTGCATAGGATAGGGTGCGGCTGGGGACAGGAGAGACACCGGCGATTTGTGCCGGAGTCGCGCGATCGAGCGAAGATGGCGACACGTTGGAGACGGTCTGTCGGCGTTGAGATAGTTTGGGAGCATGCCTGCCGCTGCTGGGGCCGTAAGTCATGGCGCTGGAAGGCGGAGAACGATGAGATGAGGGATCATCTGGTGCGCGTCTCGGAGTAGCTGAGCTAATGCCTGTTGTAATGGTGTGACTGCGTCGCAAGAAGCCTTGGTTGGGAGCGTGGGCAGAGAAGGGAGCTCCCATCTGGCCGAATTCGCTCAGGCCCGAGTCGAGCTTTGGGCTGGTGGAAGAGCGGCGCGCGCGTGGCGGCAACGCGGCGGTGTCCGTGTGATGATTGGATGCGGGCCAGGGATGAGAGGCGGAGTTGGGGGAGCGTGCTGGTGGACGGTCTGCTATGATGGAGTAAGCAGCTACGCTCGACTCGGCCAGAGGCTGGAGCGACTCGACGGCATTGCGTGAGGGAGCCCTGCCGAGGCTGGGATGGGAAGTGTGAAAGCGGGAGGTGGAGATGAAAGCACGACCGCTGTCTTGCTCGGTGAGCGAAGGAGATGCTGGTGTCGAGTTGAGGCTCTGCAGGCTGCGCAATCGCGGCCGAGAAGAGCGGCGTGCGTCGGGGGCACGGTAGGTGCGCGGTGCGCTCGATTCGGCGACTGCGGTTGCGACACCGGGAAAGGGTGTGTTGGAAGAGGCATTGCCGGCGGTCGATGATTGTGCTTGACTGTGCATGGCGTCGCTGCTTGATTCGGCTGACGCGGGTGTGGACGTCTGACGCGAGAACGGTGGGAGTGATGGGAACTGGAGCTCCTTGGTTGGGGAAGGTGTGGCCACGGGCGATGAGAACGCCGATGGAAAGGGGTGGGGCATTGTGCCGAGGACTACCTGTGCCGTCATTCTATTGTTGGCAAAGGATGGGCGCTGGAATCGCTACGCCTGTGGCTGAAAGAAGGTTGGTTGCTGCGCTGGCTTCGACGTCAAGCTTTCGCTTTGGTGTGGGTTGACCAAGTGATGGAGGCGTATCGGATGATGGCGAAGCGCAAAGGAGATGGCGAAGACAGGCGAAGCTGAGGTGGGGAGATCTGGGTGGACTCCAGAAGCAATGGGAGGGGGGCAGGGTGCGCTTAGCACGAGGCAAGCTGCAGGGATCGACAGGGTCCGTGAAGGAACAGTTGGAAGCGCTTGCGAAGAAAGGGTCCGGGGGTGGGTGGCGTATCGAAGGATGATCTACACTTTGTCCGGAAGCGGGAGCAAGATGGCGAGCGCGGGTGCGTAGCGAGTTGAGATTGACGGATCGGGAGGATGCCGGGTATGGCGAGTGGCGCGCGGGGGGAAGAAGAGGGAAGAAAGATCCAATGGCCAGCGCCAGCGCCAGATGCGAAGGTCTAGAGGCGGGTGGTGATGCTGACTCGCATGCGATGCATCAAAGTGGGTTCGAGGGCGAGGAGGGCGAGGAGGGCGAGGAGGGCGAGGAGGTGTGTGCTCGAGCCGCAACTTGATTCAGAAGAAGCACCGTGTTGAAGGTCCGAGGCACGTCGAAGGTGTATTGGATGAGGCGGGCCGTGCAAATGGATCCGTGCGTAGAAGCAAAAGAGGCTCGAAGGCTGTGCGGATGAAGGCAGGCGAGGACCTGACGCAACGGTTGGGAGACGGAAGGGACGAGCCAGGAACGGAAGCCGAGGTGGTGGCAAGGGTTGGTGGAGTGAAGCCAATCTTCCTGAGACAGGGTCTTGTCTTTGATTTAGAGCTGCGGTAGCGCCGAAGCGAGGCTTGTACAGCGACGAGGGAGGAGGATCTAGATGGATAGGGGAGGAGGTGATGAGGCGAGGAGGCGCGACGAGTGCGTGCGGCGGTGGGGACAGAGGCGCAGCGGGCAGCAAAGCGAGGAGCTGCAGAGGAATAGTAGCTGAGAACGATGTGCAGCAACCGATGCGTCTGCACGACGGCCGAGTGGTGCGCAGCTGTGCAGGCGGGCCCGAATTGATGCAATCTGCGCAACTTTGGACGGGCGACAGTCGCAGCAAACGAGATGCCAATCTTGCGATGCGTGGTCGATTGACGTGCTTAGCCCAGAGACTGTTGAGAAGGCCAAGACGTGTCGGATGAACCGCTCTATGATACGATAGCTCCCAAGCTTTTTGGCTTGGCGATGGCGCGCGGTGTGGTGGAGACGCTTGCCAAAAAAGTGCGGATGTGGACTGTATGCGTGGTGCTGCAGGTGGGTGCAATGAGAGGAATGCGGAGCGGAGAGGATGGCGGGATGGGAAGCGACGGGTCGGTGGATGGAGGCCATGCAAGAAGCTGCAGGTGACAGCGAGGTGGGTTGGTAATATGTTGCGTCGAGGCGTGGCCAGGATGGGCGTCGCTGATGAAGGGTGGGCGATATCAGCTGCACATCCGCGCATTTGGCTGCATCTCAGCTGCACACTTTGGCTGCATCACACTGCACCGCGCTGCACCGCGCTGCAACCGACGCTCTTTTGGTTGCAGCGCGCTTGGCCCACCGGTCAAAAAAACGCAGCGGTTGCGACCAACACTTTTTTAGCCCCTCTTTTTCCAGCACGCCGGGCCATGCACATCGTCGGCTTGGCCGTGCCGGGACAGCATGCGCTCGTGCTTGCCGGTCAAGCTCGAGTCGGCCAAGCTGCTGTCGAGCTGCAGTCAGCCGCCAATCATGAGCATGGCCTGACCTACCCAAGGCCAAGCCACCGCGGATCGCATTGGGCAGTAGAGTGTCGCTCGACGAGAGCACGGCCAACAACACACGCCCAGAGAACACCCCCTCTCGAGTTCTTTTTGTTTTACAAAAAAATAAATATTTAAATGTCGACGAAAAACTGAGGAACAAAGCGAGCCTGGACATCGAAAAAGGGACAAAGGGAAGGCCGACAAGGCCATGGTTTTGAGGCTTTAGCTCAGCCTTAAGCTCAGACCCAAAGGGAACGAGAGTGCAGTAAGCTATCGCATCGGAAGAGACGATGCGAGACGGGCCAGCGTCGCGATCGCAACCGCCAGCAGCCGTGTGCCAAAGTGCTGCGCGGTCGGCTCGGATTGCCATCATCAGGGTCCAAACCTGTCAGCCGCGCGATTCTCGAAGTGGAAAGAAGCACGTCACCTCGTGCCCAGTCACTTCTGTCGCCTTCGGCTGTTCCGATGCGATCTCCTCCCTGCTATCCGTTGGTTTAGGAGTCCATGCTGGCTTGGCGTGCAAGCGTATCTATCGGTATGCGTGCTGGACGCAGGCAGGAGATCCGACGACGGGCTGGCGCGCAAAATTGCTCCAGTCAGGGGCGCTTGGCGCGTTGCAATGGACGATATGAGCCGGGGCGCCCGTGTGGGGTGGTGCCGCTCGGTCAGCTCAGATGACGGCTGTCCGTCTCGCCCCTCCCTCTCTCTCTCTCTCTAGCGCGCGTCGAGGCAGAGGGTGATGTGTCGAGCACCCTCCCGCGGGCAACGTTGCGTGCCCCGCAGCCTCGCATGAAGCAGGCGCGGCAATGGTGAGTGCCTCGGCGCGCCTCGCTTGCGTTGGCAGTTGGGGCCTCTCACATTGCTCGGCTGGCAGTGACTCGTAGCCCGAATCATCCTTGACCCGTCAAATCCCTTTGTTCGACGGGCTGACAGCGACCGACTTGCCCGCTAATCGATTCGCTAGACAACGACCCCCTCCCTCCCAGCTCAACGTGGGCCGAGATATCAGAGCTAAAGAGACGAAAAAAGCTGCTGGAGCAGACGTGCGGAGGAGGCGGCGAGGAGACCAGTTCGGCTAGCGCTCCCCCACACGCGCTTGGCGCTAGTGCGGCGGCTGAATTTCATGCATCGACCTCATTGCGCAGCTTTACCTCGCTCGTCGGCCAGCTCAGCAATCGTCGCCCAAAGACCTCGTCGAGTAGGCCAACGTATGCCCGGCTGGTGCAAGAACGAGCTGGTGGTAAAATGCGATCACCAAGCCACTCCGCTTCGGATAACGATGCCGTGGTCGCCTCTGCGCTCCGCGTCGGAGTCGCGAGCCAAGTCGTGGCGTAGGCCAGCGCGGTCTGGACTCGCAAGCTGGCCAGCAGCTACCAGCCCCGCGACGAGCGACCTACTGGCTGGTGGAATCTCCATGGACGCATGATCACGCTCGGCCTCGTTGCGGAGAGCCAATTTCGCCGCGCCACCTTGGGTGCGTCTGGTACGCTGTCGCCTTTGGACCCTGCATTGCCAAAAGACGCAGGGTCGCGTGCGATGCTGTATGCTCGAGCATTGCCCCACATCCAGCCCCTTCGACTGTCCCGCGCAAAGATTGGAGAGCGAGAGAACGTGAAAAGTCGCCTTGTTCGATGCGTAATATTGTGAAGCATCGCCTTCGGGAAGCGTCCTACAGATCCGACTTGATCTGGATGGTCTAATGGTCACGCCAAGCGCAAAGGTCCATTTATTTGTCTCTGCAGAGTCGGCCGAGCGACTCGCTGGCGCTGAAGAGCTTGCGACTTGCCATGTAGCCATCGTCAGTCACCGCTTGGTGGTGGCGGGCGTGTGGAGTTCAAGGCTGGACTGCGGAGAATGACCACTTCGGCATCCGCGGGCTTGTGGCTCTTACCGAGCGTCAGCCAGCAGCGTCGGTCCCTGCATCCCCGCGGCTACGTTGCGGCAGGAGCCTAAAATCTCGCGTGTGTGCACAGGGTCTTTCGCACGCGAAGCTCCGATTCTGGTCATGTGACCTTGGCGCTCTTCTCGCTCATGTTACGCCTGGTAAAACGCACAAATTGGTCGCCAAATTGCTCGGCGAGATGGGAGGAGAGCAAAATGTCCGAAGCACGCCATCGATGCAGCGGATGGTGTGCGGGGGTGGGACCGGCAAGGTGCCATCGCTCTCGAGTCTGGTGTCAGTCAGCGCGCGCCCGCTCTTTCAACACGGCGCAGCTCTCCACACACACGCGCACGGCCCAGGCTCAGCTCAGCGCATTTCTTCTAACGCCGTTTGCGACCCTGGCGAGCGCTTTCTGGCGCTGTTGATTGCCGGATCGGCTGCATTGGGTTCGCCACCCCTCGCGGCAGTGGTGGGCAAAGCCAAGGATTTGTGCCGCGTGTTCTTGGATGGCGAGATTCCTGGGCTCGCAGTTGAGATTGCCAAGATCCTACAAGAAGCAGAGATATTGATGCACGCTTGCCTTTCGACCATCACCATCCGTCAACTGCTCTGTTTCGATCATCGATACCCATTGACGCTTTCAAGATGCCTGGCCTTCGACTTGGATCCATTGCTCCCAACTTTACCGCCGAGACCACCCAGTAAGTTTGCATTCCCCACACGCACAACGAGGATGAACGCTTTAGACTGACTGCGGGTTGGATCTGTGCTTTTTGCAGCGGTGTGCTCAACTTCCACGAGTATCTGGGTGACAGCTGGGGCATCCTCTTCTCGCATCCGGACGACTTTACGCCCGTCTGCACCACCGAGCTCGGTGAGGTTGCACGCAAGGCACCCGAGTTCGAGAAGCGCGGCGTCAAGATCATCGGCCTGTCGGCCAACGACATTGCATCGCACGACCGATGGATCAAGGACATCAACGAGGTGGGCAACACCTCGGTCAACTTCCCCATCATTGGCGACAAGGACCGCAAGGTCTCGACCGAATACGACATGCTCGACGCACTCGACCCTACCAACGTCGATGCCAAGGGAATCCCCTTCACCGTGCGTGACGTGTTTGTGATCGACCCCAAGAAGGTCATCCGCCTCAAGATCAGCTACCCCGCCAGCACCGGTCGCCACTTTGACGAGATCCTGCGTGTCATTGACTCGCTCCAGATCGGCGACAAGTACCGCGTCACCACACCCGTCAACTGGCAGAAGGGCGACAAGGTCATCGTCCACCCCTCGGTCCAGGGCGAGGAGGCCGAAAAGCTCTTCCCCGGCTACGAGACCGTCAAGCCCTACCTCCGATTCACCAAGGACCCCTCGGCCAACGCGGCCTGATTCGTGCTTCGACCGCAACCTAATTGATTTATGCATCCCATGCTGGCAATGCACAAAAATGATTCCCCTTGAGCACAATGATTTGGCTCCAAGGCAGGGTCGAGACTGAAAGACTGGAAAAAGACATGCAGATGCGATTGCACGGCGAACAAAACAGAGTGCGATCAAGTCGAGGCGAACGATGGATTCAAGGACGCAAGCGAGTCTTCTAGTTGTGGTCCTGCTTCCACGCGAGGTACTCGTCGTAGGTGCGCGAGACCTTTTGGGAGCGATACCTGCGTACGCGGAGGGCGTTTCTGATGTCGTCTGTGATCTTGCCGTTGAAGCCGGCCTTGCGGATGGCCGAATCGATGGCCTCTTGCTTCGTCCAGCCCTGGTCCGGGATGACATCTGGCAAGTAGGTGGCGGTGAGGAAATTGGGGCCGCTGTGAGCGGATTTGGAGAATCGCGATGATCTGGTGGATTTGAGTGGGGCAGGGGTGGATGCGCCCGAGCCCGACGAGGAGCTGGCGCTATCCTCGTTGCCTCTCGCCAGCAGAGGCTTGGGGGCGAGCGCGGGATTGGGCAGATGGATGTAGATGCCGTGCACGCCCACAGCCCAGTCGAGGTGGTCGTCGCAGTCTTCGAAATGCGTGAGCAGCGAGACGCCGCACTCGAGGCGAGCCAGCTCGGACGACGAGATGGGCGAAAAGCGACGGTCCTTGAATGCGGCGATGCTTGCGTATTCGGCGAGACCCTGCGATAGCGGATAGGGCTCAAAGGTGCCGATGCAGCCGCGCAGACGCGGAGTGGCGGTGGAGGAAGCCGAGGATAGGATGGACCTGCGCGCAGTCGAGCTGTGCGGGAAGATGTTCCAGGTGACAAAGAGGGGGTACTCGTTGCCGTCGTCCTCGAAGGGCGCAGCAGGTGGGCGTGACGAGTATGAATTCGAGTTGAGCTCGTGTTCGATGACCGTAAAGCAGTAGAAGCAGTGTTCAGCCAGAGCCGCCGAGGGCTCGCTGTCCGATTGCGATGGAGCCATTGCGGTTGCAAAAGCAGAATTGTATGATGCAGCGACCGCAGAGGAGTGGCTTGGACGTGGAATGTGGGCAAGTCGTGCTGGAGCTTGGATCGTAACGCTCGAGAGAGGGCAAGGAAATGTTCGCGGACAAGTGCTTCGAAACGTGAGTCGAATTTGGACTGGGACGGCGACGTGGAAGCCAGCTCGCAACGACGCCAGGAAGAGAGGAAGGGTTTGGGGGGCTGCTACGGTCGCTGCGATGATACAGAGACGATGATGGTTGTGTCGATACACCCGCCAGGGTTTTGAGGATTGCGCAGTACACCTGGCTGCGCACGGCTAAGCTTTTGGCTGCGTGAGCGCTTGGACCCTGCGTTGAGGGCCAAGGAGAGCCGAGAGCGGAGAGCGGAGCCTCGTCCCGTTGGCTCGCCGCGCCTAGGATCCAGCCCGGCACAAAGAAACGAAAAAGTTAAAAGAAAAAAGCGACCCGAAAAGACACCCTGAAAAAGCATCCCAAAAATCAAGAAAAGGGGCCTCAAACAGTGCTTGGCTGAGGTGGTGAGGGTCCGGCCTCGAGCTGGTGAATGGAAGAGCAGAGCCCCCGATACGGATCACTGCCGACTCCTCCTGGCTTATTCCGACTCGAGCCGGATTGGGGCGCGGGCACAACGAGCGACGATGACTGACGGGCCTCACAAGGCGCCACGCAGCATCGGGTCGAGGCCGACATGACATCAGCGCGCCTTGGCTCGCAGCCGCAATTTCTCCACTTTTTCTTTTTCGCAACGCAACTGCAGTAGTGCATCGCACGTTTTGGGACGTGCGCAAGTGCACAGCTGCATCCCGAAACAAAATGCCGAGGCTGGTCGCGGTTGGGCAGCTGCGGGCCGGCCCAACGTGCACGCGCCAACGCAGCCTCACAGACACGCCCCCATCCATCGGGCACGTCGGATGCGGAGCAGCCGAACCGTAGCCAGCCGCGAGGGACCAGCTTCATAGAGCGAAAGACGGGCTGTCAATCCGCGTGCCGATTGAAGAGACAGCCTGAGAGCGAGAGCTAGCTGGGAGCTGGACGAGGGGTTGAGCTGTCACCAAAGATAGAAGCAGCAGGCAGGCAGGAGGCGACGCCCGTGAGAGCGGCGTTGGCTGTCGCTCGCGATCGCGGCAGTTGGAGCCAGCCCTCCCCCCCTTCCCCCTCCCCTTTTCGGCCGCGCCCCCTCTCGCGCTCTGCCCCGTGTTGGTCTGGATTACAAATAGACTCTGGCTCGAGTCTCGGCTTTGCTGCTCAACCGGCTGCTGAGCGTACTTTGCACCTTTGCTTCCATCCACATCCATCCTTGCCCGTTCTGATATCTCGCCAACCATGTCCAACCTTCCCGGTCTCCTCATTGACATCGTGAGTACCTCCACCGCAACTGCTGTTTACGTATTTCGTGCGAGCCGCGCGCTGACCGTGTTCGCATGCTTGCATCCACCCTGTCGCTGCAGCCGCGCAACCCCATCCTGGCGGTGGGCATCCCCGTCGCCGTGGGCGTGGTGAACGGCTTTGCCACCAAGTCGTCCAACTACTCGGCCGACTCGGTGTGGTACAAGTCGCTCAAGAAGCCCAGCCTGAACCCGCCCAGCAGCTACTACGGCATCGTGTGGCCCGTGCTGTACGCCTCGATGGGCTGGGCCTCGCACCTCACCGTCAAGGCGCTCGACCGCACCCCGCCCGGCCTCGGCCGCGACACGGCCAAGAAGGCGCTCTCGCTCTACTGGATCCAGCTCGGCCTCAACGCGCTCTGGTCGCCCCTCTTCTTCGGCGCCGGCAACGTCGGCCTCGCCCTCGTCAACATCGGCGCGCTCACCGGAACCGTCGGCTACTGGGCCGCCACCGTCAAGGACGTCGACGAGACCGCCGGCCTCCTCGCCATCCCTTACGTCGGATGGCTCGCTTACGCCACCTACCTCAACGCCAGCATCTGGTGGCAGAACTACGGCAACGCCAAGTTCGGCAAGCTCAAGAAGGAGGCCAAGGACCTCTAAGCTCCCAGCCACACGCGCGTGCTTTCAATCGGCTTCCTGTATTCTATACACCTTGCCCACGTAGCCCCCCCATCGATGGTGTGGTGAATGAAATCCAAACATGAAAAAATTCGCAAGGCTGGTTCTAGGCTAAGCTTGACGCACGGAGCTGCGGTCGGTATCGACGCTGTCGCGGCGGTTCTTGATGGGGATGAATTGGCGGTCGGGATCGTGCTGGCCGAAAAAGACGGTGGAGCCTTCGACCATGCCGCGTTCGACGGTGTTGGTGCGGCTGCTGTGCGCCTGGAGCTTGCTCATGGCCTCGTCAAAGTCCATGTGCGTGGTGAGCGGACGTCTGGGTAAGGCGGTGAGCGCATGGCGTGCATCGAGGTTGATGCTGAGGATGTTGCTCGAGTGGGCGCCTTCCGAGACGCTAATCAGCAGCGAGTACTGCTGCTGCGAGCTAGGCAGGGACGAGGTGGACGATCCATCGTGCAGGCTGCTCGACGCACTCCCCGGCGTGTTTGTAGACGATGCGGGTGTGGTGGAAGAGTTGCGCTCGTACACCTCGAACGTGATGCTGGCAAAGTAGTCGAGCGGCGGGATCTTTTGCATGACCACATTGAGCTCGGAAGCGAGCACGAGGTTGAGCAGCGTGTGGATGTGACTCTCCTTGGTGAAGTAGAGGCTGCAAATGCCCTTGCTCTCCTTGGCACCCTCGAGATCCTCGACGATGTTCTTGAGCAGAGGCATGGATGTGAGGAATCCGATCTCCTCCTTCTCCTCGGGCGTGATGCCGTACTCCCTCGGACAGATGAACTGGAAGAGCGCCAGCGCCTTGCGGTACAGCTCGTGCAGATGCGTCAACCTCCTGTCCAGGTCCGCGTCCGTCACCGCCGCATCGGCAAAGACGGTCTCGATGAACTGGCGGTTGTGCAGACCATCGTGGCTCAGCATATCGTACAGCTCCGAGGATCGCGATGGATCGTGCGGATCCTCTTCAAAGTCGTTGAACAGCTTCTCCCAGCGCTCGCGGAAGAGCTGGGGCGTCTCGTGCGTGCACCATCGCGTCTGCACCCTGTCGATCGCCTTGCCCAGCGTCTTGTAGTTCTGTCGCATGATCTCGCGCAGCTTGCCCAGCAGTGCGGCGATATCCAGCGCCAACCGCGCCGGAGGCGGCAGATCCTCGGGCCAATCGTCGGGCACCGTACCGGCCTCGGGCGAATCGGGCCGGAGCGAAGCCTTGAGCTTCTTCTTGACCACGTCCATGACGTCCTTGGCGGCATTGCTGTCGTCGAGCAGATCCTTGCGGATGATCATCTCCTTTTCGCCGCTCGACTCGTCGAGGAAGGCGGCGGCAAAGATCTCGGCGCTGGCGGTGACGCGACGCTCGGACGAGGTGTAGACGGTGCAGTTGGAGAGCGCGTCGGCGTTCATGATGATCATGTCCTTGCGCATGTTGTTGCCAAACTCCTTGGCCTGGTGGCGCGCCGCATGCGAGAACTCGCCGCCCCACTTGATGATCAGCTGCATCTTGGCCAGCTCGGCCGACTGCTTGTCGAAGCTCGGCTTGATCTGGACCTTGGTGCCGGGCATATCCTTCTTGCGGTTGATGAGCTGGATGATGAGCTCGAGATCCTCGACGTTGGCGCCGGGCAAGGCGAGCGCTTCGGAGGCGGCGGTGGAGACGAGGTCGAGCTGGGTTCGCAGGATGATCTCCTCCCTGCGTCCCTGGAGGAGCGCGATGAGGGGAGCCGCCCAGCTGTCGGATGGCTTGAAGGAGCGCTTGAGCTTCTGCTTGGGCGTGCGGTCGCCGTGGCGGAAGACGGTGACGGAGGCCTTGAGATTCCAGGCGGAGCGCTCGCGCTCGCGCGGGCTTGCGCTGCCGACGCCGCTGCCCGAGCTGCCGATGGGGCGACGAACCACCTTGTCGTTGCAGAAGCGGCTGAGGATGTCTGCGCACTTGTCGTAGTAGAAGTCGTTGCCCTTGACGAAGCTCCAGCCGTTTACGTCGATGACGTAGCTCTTGCCGCCGACGCGGAGGAGGTCGAAGCCGCAGATGTTCTGCTTGAAGGCGGTGGAGATGGCGGTGGCCATCTTGATCTCGTCCGGGGTGAGTTTGGTGATGTAGCGGATCTCCTTGCCGTCTGGGTTGCGTTTGACGACGCCGTCGACGACGGGCGATTTGCGGGTCTCTGCATGGACAAAGTGCGGGCCGATGGTGTAGACCTTGATATCCTCTGCATTGTCGACGTCCATGAACTCCTCGTAGATGTACGAGCCGTCGGTGCGCGGGTGGACGAGGTTGGGGTCGTACTCGGACGACTTGTTGCCGACCTTGCGGAAGAGGCGACGGCCTCCGCCGCCTTTGGCCTTGGGGAAGTAGATGTGGATGTTGTGGTCCTCGCCCGAGACGGGCTTCTCGACAAAGGGCTTTGCGATCTTGTGGTCGCCGATGACGAGCTGGTCGTACGACTCGAGGCGGCACTCTTTGGGGTCGCGGTCCTTGCGAAGGTCTGCGCCGATTCGGGACTTGAGATCTTCGATGATGGCATCCTCAAGGTCTGGGCCGCCGTCACGGTCGACTTCGAGACGGCGCGGGGTGGGCACGCCTACGCTGTCGAGGATCTGGAGGACGGCACGACGGTCCCAGAGGACCTGCTGGAGGCGGAGGTCGTTGACGAGCACGGGCTTGCGGAGATCTGCGTAGGAGATGGCCTTTTCGAGTGGGAAACCGGTGGAGAAGAAGGAGATGAGCACGTCTACGATGGGCCAGTCCTGGACGGGTTCGTCGAGGATGACCTTTTCGCCAAAGATGGTCACGTCGAAGTCCTTGGTGCTGATGAGGCGGTTGAGGATGTTTTGCATGGGCTTGGAGCGCGCCTTGCGGTCCATGGCGGCGACGCCCAGCTGTATGCGTTCCATGCTGGGCGAATGTGTGCTATGGATGCGATGATGGGCGAGAGGATGGACGACTTCCTTCTGCAGCTCGGTCCAATATGAAATGGCCGTGCGAAAGGCAGGAAATACAAAAAAAAAAAAAA